AATAAAAATTTGAAAAATTAAAAATCGACAATTTGAAAAATCGAAAAATTTTAAATTCTAAAAAAATGTAAAGTCGAAAAATGGAAAAAACAAAAAATTGCAAATCGAAAATCTGAACAAACAGAAAATTAGAAACTGAATTATCGAAAAATTAAAAAAGTGAAAAATGAAAGTATTGTACATCGAGAAACTGCAGAAACGAAAAATTGAAAATACGAAAAAATCAAAATCGAAAAATAGTGAAATCGAAAAAGCGAAAAATTGGAGAATTTTAAAATCGAAAAAAAACTGTAAAATTGTAAAACCGAAAAATTGTAAAACGTAAAGTGGAAGAAATGAAAAACTGAATAATTGAAAATTATTAAAGTTGAAAAATCAAAAATTTTAAAATTCAAAATTGAAAACAGGAAAATTTGAGAAATCAAAGAAGTGAAAAATCTAAAAATTTAAAAATCGAAAAATTGTTAGATTGAATATGTAATTACAAACCGAAAAAATAAAAATTCCAAAAAATAAAAACCAAAAACTAAAAATCGAAAAATTGAAAACAAAAAATTAAAATATCTGAATATTGAAAAAATCTAAAAATAATGTAAAATCGAAAAATAGAAAAAATGAAAAATTTCAAATCGAAAACCTGAACAAACGAAAAATTCAAAAATAGAAAAATTGAAAAATTAAACATGGAGAAACTAAAATATTGAAAAGTTAAAAAATTGAAAAATCGAAATATTTTAAATTGAGAAACTGAAAAAACGAAAAATTGAATACATATACGAAAAAATCAAAATCGAAAAACCGTAAAATCGAAAAAGCGAAAAATTGGAGAATTCTAAAATCGAAAAAAAAATATAAAATTGTAACACGCAAAATGGAAGAAATGAAAAACTGAATAATTGAAAAATTTAAAAGTTGAAAAATAAAAAATTTTAAAATTTAAAATTGAAAACAGGAAAATTTGAGAAATCGAAGACCTGAAAAATCGAAAAATCGAAAAATTGAAAACATAAAAATTAAAATGTCTAAGTATTGAAAAACATCTAAAAATTTAAGATTAAAAAAAAATGTAAACATAGCAAAAACGAAAAATTGCAAATCGAAAACCTGAACAAACGAAAAATTCAAAAATAGAAAAATAGAAAAACTAAAAATCGAGAAATTAAAAAACCGAAAAATTGTAAATTCGAAAAACTGTAAAAAACATGAAAAACTAAAAATCGAGACACTGAAATATCGAAAAGCTAAAAAATTGAAAAATTGAAATATTTTAATTTGAAAAACTGCAAAACCGTAAAATCGAAAAGGCGAAAAATCGGAACATTCCAAAATCGATAAAATTGTAAGATGGAAAATTCGTAAAAGGAAAAATGGAAGGAATGAAAAACTGAATATGAATGAAAATAATTGAAAAATTTTAAAGATGAAAAATTAAAAATTTAAAATTGAAAACAGGAAAAATCGAAGAAGTAAAATTTCTAAAAATTACAAAATCAAAAATCGTAAACACAAACGAAAAATTAAAATGGCTAAATATTGAAAAAAAAAAATTAAACAATAGTACACAGGGAACTGAATAATTGGAAAATTAAAAGTTAAAAAATTCTAGAATCCGAAATTCAAAAACTGAGAAATTGAAAAATTAAAAGTTTTAATTGAAAAATCACAAAACCGAAATCTCCAAAAGTACAAAAGTCGGAAAAAAGAATTTTAAAATCGAAAAATTGAATTGATTTTTTATAAATTGAAAAAATTTGAAAATAAAAAATTGTAAAAAACTATAGAATCGAAAAATTCGGAACAAAAAATTTTACAAAAAAAATGAATAATTAAAAACTAAAAAAATTAAAACTGAAAACTCGCAAAATTGAAACATTTAAAATTGGAAGTTGAAAATTTGAAGACACGAAAAATGAATGAAACAACTGAAAAATTCAAAAATCAAAAATTGAAATCTCAAAATTGTACGATCTAAAATTTATGAAATCGAAACATTTCTTCACAAAATTGAAGAAACGGGAAATTGAAAATTCGAGAAAATAAAAATCGAAAAATTGAAAATCGAAAAATTAAAAACCGAGAACCTGAAAAATCGAAAAATTGGGAAATTTAAAAATCAGAATATTGAAAAATTCAAAAATTGTAAAATTTTGTAAAAACAAAACTGGAAATACAAAAAATTAGAATATCCAAAAATTGTAAAACTGAAAAATTAAAAATCGCTAAACTAAAACTTAAGATTAAAAAATCCAAGAACCGTTAATCGGAAAATCAAAAAATCGAAAAATTGTAAAATTGAAAAGTTATAAAATCGAAAAATTGTAAAACGAAAAATTGAAGAAACGAAAATTTGAATAACTGAAAAATTTCAAAATTGAAAAATCATAAATCTAAAAATTTAAAATTGGAAAATTGAAAACACAAAAAATTAAAATGTCCAAACAATGAAAAAAATATAAAAATAAAAAACAACAAACTGAATAATTGAACAGTCTGTTAAAAATCAAAAAATTCTAAAATCTAAAATTCGAAAAACTCAATCAAAAACTGAAAAATAGAAAAAATAAGTTTTAATTGAAACATAGAAAACTCAAAACTCGAAAAAACCACAGAATTGTAAAAATCGAAAAACTGAAGAACTGAAAAGTTTTTGAATTCAAAAAATGAGCAAATAAAAAATTGTAAAAATCTATAAATCGAAAAATTCACAACAAAAAATTGAACAAAAACATTTAATAATTGAAGAATTTCAAATATGAAATTAAAAAATTGAAAAATTTAAAACTGAAAACTCGCAAAATTGAAACGATTAAAATTGGAAATTGAAGAAACGAAAAATTAATTGAATAATATTGGAATTCTAAATTCAAAAATTGATAAAATCTCAAAATTGTACAATTTAAAAATTGTGAAAATGAAACATTTCAAATCGCAAAATTGAAAACGAAATATGTATTGAAAATTCGAAAAAATAAAAATCGAAAAACGGAAGAATCGAAAAATTGAAATATCCGAAAACTGCAAAATCGAAAAATTAAAAACCGAGGAACTGAAAAATTGAAAAATTTAAATTGCAAAATCGGGAAATTTAAAAATCAGACAATTGAAAAATTCAAGAATTACAAAATTGAAAAAAAACCGAAAACACAAAAAATTAAAATATCTGAAAATTTATGTAAAATCGAAAAATTTAAAATCGGGAAACTCAAATATGGTAAGATTAAAAAAAAACTGTTAAATGGGAAAATCAAAAAATCGTAAATTTGAAAAGTTAAAAAATCGAAAAATTGAAGAAATGAAAATTTGAATAACTGAAAAATTTCAAAATTGAAATATCATAAATTGAAAAACTTTAAATTGAAAACTCGATAAATTGGAAATTGAAAATTTGAAAAAACGAAAAATTCAATAACTGAACAATTGAATGTTTTTAAAATAAAAAAAATGCAAATCACAAAAATCCAGAAATTAAAAATTCGAAAAATAAAAGCCGCAAAATCAAATAATTGCAAACTGAAAAACTAAAGAGATTAAAAATTGCAAAAAATTTAAAGAACAAAAAAAAGTTCTAAAACTGAAAATACGAAAAATTAAACTATTTAAAATGTCGAAAAATGAAAAAATTGAAAAATCGGGAAGAACTGTAAAATCGAGAAATCGGAAAATCGAAAAATTGCAAAACGAATAATTGAAGAAGCGAAAAATTGCATAATTGAATTGAATAAACGACACATTCAACAACTGAAAAATTAAAAATCAAACATCGAAAATTTTACAATTAAAAACTCGAAAGTTACAAATCCAAAAGTGTAAAATTGAAAAATTGCCAATCGGAAAATTAAACTTGAACAAACTAACTCGAAAAATAGAGAAACTAAAATTCGGAAAATTGAAAAATCGAAAAAAGCAAAACGAAAAATTGGACTATAAAATAATTTCAAAGTTGAAAAATCCAATATTGGAAACTTGAACACCTGGAAAACGAAAAATTAAAAATACATTGCACCCATCAATTAACTGACTTATCATATTTAGATTGTAGTTAGTGGTATCCGCATCAAAAATGAGGAATCTGTAAAGTCCCCACTTTCCATTAATTTCAGCTACATAAATGTGAATTCTGTTTTCAAAACCGGTAACTCTTCCGCTTGAAGACGGCACTGTGACCGAAACACGTAGAACTATTGTATAAATTATTTTAAACCCAAAAAAATTAAAGCTGATGTTTTTATTAATCAATATCCATTACAATGCATTTATCAGCGTATAAAACTTATCTCACAATAAAAACACAGAAACAAAGGCACTTATCTAAATCATTCTCAGCCATTCACAGCAATTACCGTCATTGATAAGGTTATTCCACATCGAACAGCGCGGAATATGTAAACATTAGCATACGAATTAGCATATCCGAGACCAATTATCGATTTTTGAAATAACGAATAAAGCGATTAGTCATTACATTATCACGTCCAACACATTACACAGATTTAAAACAATCTTTATTGGACGGTGGAATCCATTAAGGCGAGCGATTTACAAGTGCATCCAATTGAGAGTAATTACGGAACGACCTCAAGCATTCTTCCCACAACATAATAATTTAATACCTTGGTAATCTTCAAGGTTTTGCTTTTATTTTCAATGATCTATAATAAAGTCAGTTTCCATATAAAGCCTAACCGCCTTCGGTGTCCGGCTCGAAGGACCGAAAATTCTTCCGGTCGCATATTTATAGTCTTGGTGTGGTCATGATGTAAAACCGCAGTCTTGAATGTAGTTAAGTGAATTTCCGCCCAATCAAGATATGACAAGCCTTACACTTGAAAACCTCGTTGATTCATCATTTGCCTTGAATTAACAGTACAGAAGATTCATTTGCATTTGGGCAAAGTCGAGAGAAGTAGCGTCATATAAACAAAGTGACTAATTTTATTACACATCATTGTTTTCGTGCTGTTATTTATTAGTTAGTTATCAAAGTAATAAAAGTGTCTGAGTTTGGAAAATAAGTATAATTAGTGCTAAGATACAAAAATTCTAAATATAAACTATGTACAGATCCTAGAACTACATATTTACAAAACTTCATGGAAGGTTCATTCTTGCTCTAGTTTGGGGTTTACTCTCCCGTTGAGTTTATCCAAGTCACCATTAGCCCTACAAAACATGCAACATTAGAAAAAGAAAGGAAACAAACCCGTCCGAAAAGAAAAAAACTTACGCTATTTGCTCGATTCTGTCTTGGACTCCGTTGCTCCTCACGACCATGTTTTTGGGCAAGGTCGCCAACATATCGTTGGCTTTGTCATGGTACGCCCCATACAGACCCCTCAGAGTCCCATACACCAGCTTTTTGACCAACGGGTTGTTCCTGTCGATTTCGACAGGAACACCGCCGTTGGGGTTAGTCACGGTGTACTTAGTCTGCGGACCCCGGGTAAGCGTGGCTTGCAGTTTAGGCGGCTGCGACAGGTTAACCGGGGGCGGCGGTGGCGGCGGCGGTGACGAGTTCGGGCTGCTCGGCGACTTCTGACCCATTAGCGGCGCGCTTCCGTTCATGACCGGCTTCGGAGGCGCGGCCGTCGGCATCGGCGGGGGCGGCGGCACGTTTTTCTCGCTTTCCGACTTCGACATGGCAATCGGGGGCGGCGTATCGACTTTTAGTGGCGACATTGTCTCTTTTTCCGTATCGACTTTCGCGTCTTTGTAAATGTCGATTTTTGGGGGCGGCGATTTGCTGAAGGAGGGTTTGGCGGCAAGTTTGGGTTTCTCCACGGAGACTTGTTTTTCGAACAGGCTGATTTTCGAGTTGATTTTGTTGCATCTAGGTGGCGATTTTCGCTCTTGTGGGTTTTCGAACATCTTGGAGACTTCGCTTACGGATTTAGTGGGCTGGATTTCGATGAAAATTTCGCTTTTCATCTTCTCCTTTTTCTCTTCCTGTGGCTTCGCTTCCTCCTTCGACTTGTCTTTTTCCTCGAAGGCGGGCTTCACCGAACTGAATTTCTTGCTCTTGGAATTTTCCAAGTACGTGTTAAAGGGGGTGCATGAGTTTTTCGAAAAATCCGGCACGTCTGAGCTGAGTGACGACGACGATGTGTTGTTGCTAGAATTCGATAGGGGAAAGTTTTTCACTTCGACACTGTTACCGGCGTTTTCGTCTTCTTTTTTTCCGTTTTTGTAGCTGGCAAGGAAGTTGACGTAGTCTTTGTATATTGGAGAATTCACTCTGGAGTTTGATCGGGTCAGAGTAGCCATGGCGGTTGTTACGGAAACACACTGTATATGCAGACAGACAGGAACCCAACGAAAGCGAAATTTTACAGCGGTTATCCGCAACGTTTGAAAGTTGACTGAGAATGAGAAACCCGCTTCGAGCTTCGAGTATGGATTGGAATTTAGATGATATCACCTTTTGGTGGTGGGGATTGCATTATTTTAACTCACCTATAGTTTTGCAATTGTTTATCGCACAGTATTTTAAAAATGCGCGACACTTTTATTAGCGAAAATATAAATAACGATTTGAATTATGTAGTACGAAAATTTAATTAGTTGATAAAAGTGTGCAAAATTTGTTTTTCTGCAGCAATTAAAATTCATTGTGATTTATTTTATTTGCGCTAAAGTTTCAAAACAAATAAACAGAACCCTTACGGTCTGGTCGTGGCTCAGTGTTTTTGTTTCCAAATAATAAACAAAATTGTTTCTTATCGCGAATACGCAATAGGAACTGCATATGTAATTTCAAAAAACAATAGATAAAATGCTAACTACTGTATACACATGAGTTGTAAACATAACATTTTAATTACATGTACATAATCGTAATCCTGCTACACCACAGAATGTTGTCCACAGATTTTAAATTTTTCAAAATTTAAATTTACGAGTGCTAAATTATTTTTAAGAATTAAATATTTCCACATTTTTAGGTTCTAGTACTAGTGTCCATTACAAATATTGTCAAATAAGACTATAAAGTAAGTTTAACTAAATAAATTGTTGTTAAAAAAAAATAATAATAATAACAAAGTGCAAAGAACGTCAAGTCAACAGATTTCGCTTAAAAATAGAAATCGAAAGTGTTTCTCAAGAAAATTAACATTATTATAAATCCGCTCTAATGTTCATTGTTGTGCTGTTGTTCATTAAATTAGTGACACATCTTGAATTAGTATTTTACTGGAAAATATGAAAGTCTTATATTTTCACTTCGTTACAACACTTCGAGACATACAATATTTTATGCGTGTAATTTTTGAGAAAACTAAAATAAAAACAAGAATATCTGTTGGTTTTAGGCTATTTTGATAAATACGAATTTATTTTTGTTGTTTTTTAAAAATATGTAATTAATTATAATTCACAGTAAAGTAATTTACTATTTTGCTACAGTTATTATGTTGATTTATTGAATTATCAACTAACATAATGATAGGTAATTAATTGTAAATAATGTTAATTAAACAAAATTAAAAAACAATCAATCAGTAATTAATTATGAGTCATTGAAAGTGGTTAACTACAAAATCACCGTGATTAAGCTTAATTTTACAAAATTAAATAATTTATCAATTTATTATTATTAACGACAATTAAGCAACACCTGTTTTTTTAACAAGTAGTTCTTTCATGAAGTACTAATTGCATATTTAAGTAATTGATAGACAACTGCATTTAAATGTAGTTAATTATGTTCAAACTGTTTAACTAACAAGCTATGAATTATCGTTCATATTTCTTAAATAAGGCTAAATGTACTTCGTTCTCAATTAATTATTTAATTATTATTATTATTGTTGTAAAATAATTTTGGATATTACTTTGGATGATTTAATTTATGTAATTAATTTACTACATATACAAATAATTAATGATAACTGATGTTAGTTAAACAAAATTAAAAAACAAATAAATGACTAAATAGGATTCAGTAGCTATAAATAAACACACTTAATTGTAATTATTAATTAACTGTAATAAAAAACTGAAATTAGACGTAAGTACTTAAAACCAATAGCTTAATTATGAGTCATTAAAAGTAGTAAATAACCATATGACGGTAATTTGGCACTATTCCACAAAATTAATAATTTATCTATTTATTGTTATATACAAAGTTGAATAACACCGGTGATGATTATAATTGCTCCCAAATTAAATGGTAATTAATTCTAATTAGGTATTACGAATGACAATTAAGTAACATATATTTTTTAATAAGTAGTTCATTAAACGAAGTACTAATTACACGATTAAGTAATTTATAAACAATAGTATTTCAATGAAGCAGTTCATTAAACGAAGTACTAATTACACCATTAAGTAATTTATAAACAATAGTATTTAAATATAGTTAATTGTGTTCAAATTATTTAATTACCTATCTAATTATTATTATTGTTGTGAAGAATTATAATTTACTTCAATTGTGTGCTGCTGCTTAATCACATAAATAATTTTGGATATTATTTCGAATAATTTCATTTCAGTAATTAATTTTACTACATATACAAGTAATTAATTATAAATTATGTTAATTAAATAAACAATAAATGAGTAATTAGGATTCAGTAGCTATAAATAAACACACTTAATTGTAATTTTAATTAAGTGTAATAAAAAAACTGAAATTGGACGTAAGTATTTAAAACCCATAGCTTACTTATGAGTCATTAAAAGTAGTTAATAACCAAATGACGGTAATTTAGTATAATTCCACAAAATTAGTAATTTATCAATTTATTGTTATATACAATCAAAGTTGAATAACACCGGTGATGATTATAACTGCTACCAAGTTAAATGGTAATTAATTCTAATTAGGTATTACGAATGACAATTAAGTAACATATTTTTTAATAAGTAGTTCATTAAACGAAGTACTAATTACACCATTAAGTAATTTATAAACAATAGTATTTAAATATAGTTAATTGTGTTCAAATTATTTAATTACCTATCTAATTATTATTATTGTGAAGAATTATAATTTACTTCAATTGTGTGCTGCTGCTTAATCACATAAATAATTTTGGAAATTATTTCGAATAATTTCATTTCAGTAATTAATTTTACTACATATACAAGTAATTAATTATAAATGATGTAATTAAATAAACAATAAATGAGTAATTAGGATTCAGTACCTAAACACACTTAATTGTAATTTTTAATTAAGTATAATAAAAAAACTGAAATTGGACGTAAGTATTTAAAACCCATAGCTTACTTATGAGTCATTAAAAGTAGTTAATAACCAAATGACGGTAATTTAGTATAATTCCACAAAATTAGTAATTTATCAATCTATTGTTATATACAATCAAAGTTGAATAACACCGGTGATGATCATAACTGCTACCAAATTAAATGGTAATTAATTCTAATTAGGTATTACGAATGACAATTAAGTAACATATATTTTTTAATAAGTAGTTCATTAAAGGAAGTACTAATTACACCATTAAGTAATTTATAAACAATAGTATTTAAATATAGTTAATTGTGTTCAAATTATTTAATTACCTATCTAATTATTATTATTGTGAAGAATTATAATTTACTTCAGTTGTGTACTGCCGCTTAATTACATAAATAATTTTGGATATTACTTTGAATCATTTAGTTTCTGTAATTAATTTTACTACACATACGAATAATTAATTATAACTGATGTTAATTAAACAAAATTAAAAAGAAAACAATAAATGACTAATATGACTCAATAACTATAAATGAACACACTAATAATTGTATTTATTAATTAAGTGTAATCAAAAAAGCTGAAATTAGACGTAAGTAGGTACTTAAAATCAATAGCTTAAGTGTTAGTCATTAAAAGTAGTTAATATTCAAATGACGGTAATTTACCATAATTCCACAAAATTAATAATGTATCAGTTTATTGTTAAGAGACAATCAAAGTTGAATAACACCGGTGATGATTATAGCTGCTACCAAATTAACTAGTAATTAATTCTAATTAGTTATTACGAACGACAATTAAGTAACATGTATTTCTTTCATAATTAGTTCCTTAAACGAAGTACTAATTACAAGATTAAGTAATTTATAAACGTAAATGTAGTTAATTGTGTTCAAATTATTTAATTAAGTATCTAATTATTATTATTGTGAAGAACTATAACTTACTTCAATTGTGTAGTGCCGCTTAATTAGGTAATTAATTTTAAATATTACTTCGAATCGTTTCATTTCTGTAATTAATTTTACTACATATACAAGTAATTAATTATAACTGATGTTAATTAATTAAAATTAAAAAGAAAACAATAAATGACTAATTAGGATTCAGTAGCCATAAATAAACACACTTAATTGTAATTACTAATTAAGTACAATCAAAAAAACTGACATTAGATGTTAGTACTTGCACAAAATTAATAATTTATCAAATTATTATTATAGATAATCGAAGTTAAATAACACCGGTGATGATTATAACTGTTACCAAATTAATGCTAATTAATTCTAATTAGTTATTACGAACGACAAGTAAGTAACTCACATTTCTTCAATCAGTAGTTCCTTAAATGAAATATTAATTACCCGATTAAGTAATTTATAAACGACGGCATTTAAATGTAGTTAATTGTGTTCAAATTATTTAATTAACTAGCTATGAACTGTGGTTCATATCTCTTAAAGAAGGCTAAATGTACTTCGTTATTAATTAATTATCTAATTACCTATTATTATTATTATTATGAAGAATTATAATTTATTTCAATTTTGTACTGCCGCCTAATTACATAAATAATTTTGGATATTATTTTGTATAATTTAATTTCTGTAATTAATTTTACTACATATACAACTAATTAATTATAACTGATGTTCAGTAAACAATAGTAACTATACTATAAATAACCACACTTAAATGTAATCAATAATTACGTGCAACTTCAAAAAGTGAAACTAGATGTAATTTCACAAAATTAAATAATTTATCAATTTATTATTATGGAAAATCAAAGTTAAATAACAACAGTGATAACTATAACTGCTGCCAAATTAACTGGTAATTAATTCTAATTAAGTATTGTTAACTACAATTAAGTAACACGTTTTTTAAGTAGTTCTTTAAACAAAGTACTAATTACATAATTAAGTAATTTATACACAACCGCATTTAAATTTAGTTAATTATGTTTAAATTATATTATAAATTAACTAGCTATGAATTGTAGTTCGTATCTATAATATAAGGCTAAATGTATTTCGTTATTAATTAATTATCTAATTATTATTATTGCGAAGGATTATGATTTACTTCAATTGCCTACTGCCGCTTAATTGCATAAATAATTTTGGATATTACTTTGGATCATTTAATTTCTCTCCAAATAATTACATTTGATTATTATTGAGTTCATTAATTGGCTTTAAGTGAACTACCTACTGTCAATTAAGAACTCCAAGTTTAAGTCAGCAATTTTCGACTTTAAACTTAAGCAAAAGTAGAAATCGAAAGTATTTTTTCAAACAAATTAAAATCATTAGAATGTAGATCCAATGTTCGTTATAATTATGCGCAGTAAAGTAATTTACTATTTTATTATAATTATTATTATTATGCTAATTGATCATAGTTACTTCAATTACCTACCACCAGGTAGGTAATAATTAATTGATATTGCATAATTAGACATATGTTTAATTATAACTGATGTTAAAAACAATCAACCACATTAATTAAGACGCAGTAACTATAAATAACAACAATTATATGTAATCATTAATTAAGTGTAATTAAAAATACTGAAAATAGACATCGCTACTTAAAACTAATGGCTTATCAAGTATTAATTATGAGTTGTTAAAACTGGTTAACTAACCAATTACGGTAATTAAGCATAATTCCACTACATTAGTAACAAATTAACTGGTAATTAATTCTAATTAAGTATTACGAATTAATATGTAGCTTTTTAAATATTAATTAAGTAATTCATAGTTAACTGCATTGTAATGTTGTTGATATTTAGGTTTAGTTAACTAGCTCTAAATTATGAAATTATAGATCATCATGTCTCTTAAATAAGGTTATTTAATGTATTTCTTTATATTAATTATCTAATTGTATTATAAATACTTATAATTTACTTTAAGTGCGTACTTCGAATTAATTATATTTGATTACTAATGAATTCATTACTACTGTCAATATATAAAATAATACAGTCACTAGAATTACGCTCTAACATATTGGTAATTAATTGTAAATACGTAATATTAATCAAACAAAATTAATAAAATATCAATCAGAAATTATAAATAGCCACACTTAAATGCAATAAAAAAAACTTACATTAGCCGTAAGTACTCAAAATTAATAGCTAATCAATTATTAATTATGAGTCATTAAAAGTGGTTAACAACCAAATGGCGGTAATTAAACATAACTTGACAAAAATAATAACTGACCAATGTATTATTATGGACAAATCAAACTTAAATAACAACAGTAATTATGACTTCTACCAAATTAATTGTAATTAATTCTAATTAGATGTTACCAACGGCAGTTAAACAACACCTATTTCTACGAACTACTAATTAAGTACGTAACTTTATTATTATTAATTAATTTTCCATTTATTTTTATTCAGTTACGTGCTGTCCCTTAAGTACATGAATAACTTAGGTTATTACTTTGGATTACTTAATTTTTGTCCAATAAATTACATTCGATTACTAGTGAGTCCATTAATTGGTCTTAACGAAACTTAATTAATTTATTTTAAGTGATTCTAATTAATTTCTTCATTCATCGATTAATTCTTTATAACTAATAAAATTAATTTTTGAATTTAAAATTTCATTTCGTTTCCTTGTAGCTGGTTTCTAAATATTAGTTCAATGATTAATTATTTACTTTTCGAACGATAGTTAAGGGAACTACTACACCAGAGTTATTTTAACGAATGTGTAAAAACATATTCCATTACGTTTTAGCAGACGTAAAATACGAAAATGTACACTCAATTTCTTCTACTTACTTATAGAACTTACGTACATTTTATCAGTTTTGAAAATATTAAAAAATTTCGGTTTAACGCTGTCAAAGTTTTATATTTGTGAAATTTATTAACTTTTTAGTTTATTAAACATTAAGTCGATACTTTATGTATATTTCGCACAGCAGCTGGAACAATTTTCCAAGGTTATCGAATTTTTAAAAATATATCAAAATTTAAACATAAACTGAAACTGTCGTCTATTTTCGAAAAATAGTGTCGAAATTATATATATAGACATTTTAACCATGAGCATTTTGTGGAAGTTCATTTTTATATTGAATTCAAAAAAAAACTAAAAAAATTATTAATACCTACGTTTTACTTTATTTAACTAAGAGCTCCCCGCCGTTCCTCAAAACGTGCAATCGCATTTACGTTTATTTAAAAATGTATAAATAGTAAATAAATATTTACAAAACTGATACTAAATCAGATTTAAATAATAAAAACCAAAAACGATTACGAAATACACAAAGCATACGAAAACGTCATTGAACTTACCTTAACTATGACTATTTCCAGAAAACGAAAATCCAAAAAGCCTGAAAAAATACGCCAATTAAAAGAAATTTCCGCACTTGTCCACCTACAAGTTCTGTTTTAGTAATATGATGAACTCTCTCAAACATTAAACTTTATACATCACGCCAAATTAACTTATAAAAGCACCCGGCACATTAAAAAGCTCATTTGAGAATACAGTTCGTTTCCTATATTTATATATCCAGTTATTTTTAAGTTAGTGTTTTTCGTTTTCCCTATGTTTTCGCCATTCTCAACTTTATTAGTTTCTTTACCCGCATAAATCGCCTGCCTCCAACTTAGCAAAACAAGCAAACTTTCGGACCACTCATATCTTTTTCAATGTCGCCCGTCTATTCTTATAAAAATTTAAGTTTTTATCCAAGCTTTGAGTGCTTGAAACCGGTTATTCGGAAAAATCACCTGTCGATTTCACTCAAACGGTTACGCGTTGGTGGCTGTTTTATTCGCTATAAAAATATGATTCTTTGTGAGATGATTGATGTAACGCACACGTTTGAGATAAATTGACTGGTGCAACCTAGACCTCAATTTGTGAGTGACAGGGCCAAACTTTTTTAAATTTGACGGGATTTAGCAAAAATTTTGAAATTGGGGATTCTCGGAAGCTCTTATCGAACTCGATTTTTTTATAAATATTTATTGAGTTATCATTTATAAATACGACATGTCACCGCTTACGTCGGATGAGTCACTTTAGATTAAACATCGCATAAATCTCGACAATACAAAAAGAAAAATTGTCGTATGAATCATAACCGAAATAAAAATAGCGCAGTGTAAATGACCCATTTAATCTTGCTTCCGCCTAGACCGGAAATGAGCTTTCGAATTCGCAAAAAGCTTACGCCAGACGCAAAGTAAATGTCGAGAAATGTGAAGAATCCGCCGGTTTAAGTCACCCAGGTAGAATCCAGCGGACCACCACATTGTTAGCGACTTTCCACTACCCGCCCTCGCTTGAACCCAATGACCGCATGTAATTTCTCTTTCAGGATGATTACAGCAACCGTCACTGTTTTTAAACAATGACTCACACTTTTATGTACTTTATAAATTTCACGACTGCCGTTTGTGTCTTTCATCCGTGTTTACTTTTTTCCTCGCGAAAAAATTTTGGTACACGATCAAAATATTTCGAAATTGGTTGCTGGGGCCCTGAAAACGCGTAAAAAAAGACCGCCGCTCGCTCTTGACCTGAACAGTTGCTTCGCTTAAATCGTCAAAGTCTCCAATGTCAAGTATAGATTATGATGTTCTTCAAATTAACGCGGCGTGGGCGTCTTTGATCCGAAAATCGCGCTAATTGGCAGTCGTCAAAAATTTTCCAAAATTTTCAAAACGCCACTTACGTCACATGCAAAGTTCATCCTCACGTTTTGCGCAACTTCAGTCTGTGCACCAAAAATCGCAGAAACACGAACACTGAACTAGACGCGTCGCGACGCTTCCGACGTCGAACCAGCAGGAGAACTGTTGTCGGCCCCGAGGCCGTTGCCTCGTTTTGATGTAATACTGGCCATTAGCCAAAAATCGCATCCTAAAACCGAAAAAGTAACGTTTCAAGGGCCGCCGGCTCGGCCCATCGTGCTGATCACATTCGAACCATTCCTATTTTCGCACCTAATAAAATTAGCCCGCGACAAACTACGAGCTATTAAATTAAAAAATCGTCACTCCTATATATATATCGTGTTTTACGAAAGTCTTTCGCTTTTTCTTCCGTCTGGTCGTCCTACATTTTCTTTTTCTCGTGTTTTCACTGCGTCCGCAAAAATAGTCTGCACGCAATTTCGTAATGATTGAAGTTACCAAGTGGACGATTTTTGAACAGAGGGGTCGATGTGCTGCGAAATGGCATCGTCTCTCCCGGCTATAAATACGCATCGCGATTATTTTATTTCGAATGTGTGTGTGTAATACCTACGCCAATCCTTTCTTTAATAGTACTCTGTCCTTGAAAAAATATTTCCGGCCCAGACAAAATGGCCGAAAAAAAGCAACGCAATTGTCGCAAAACAATCCTCGTGCCGTTTTCAAGGTTCGCTAAATAAAGAGCGCCGAGTTTAAAACTTTATTGAAAAAAACAACACTACAAAAACGAGAAAATACAAAAGTAAACTTATTTGTAAAGCTACGCTATCTTTATCACAACGCGTGATTACATCGTTACAAAAATATTCGCACAAATTTTAAGGCCACTGTATCACAGGCGTCAAGATGCAACCTTAGAGGCAAGTTTGAAGATTGATTCTTAAATAATTTCTTCGACTCTTTGAACACATCATGAGATCTATTTTAAATATGCCGCGCCGCAACGGGGGGAGTGGTCGTGCTTGGCCAATCACAAACACGAAAAGAGAGCGCGTGCGCCGCCGCCGCCAATCGCGACCGACGACGCACCAATCACAAGCCAGGATCCGGGAAGCGGGAAACGGGAAAAGGGGCCGTCGCGGCGCCAGATTTTTTCAAAATCCACTAATACTAACAAAAATACAACTAAAACTGCCACGATTTCCGAATACACAAAATAAAATATTAAAAATAAAAATGGCAGCTAAGGAACTCTGTCAAGACTACAAGCGTAACTCTCTACAATAAAGTAACCTGTCCCAGATTGGTGGAAATGACCATCTCCATAACGGCTTGAAAGACGACTTGGACGTTGGCGGTGTCAGTGGCAGTAGTGAAATGCGGATAGAGTACTTTCCGAGAGTCGGCGTTTTTCAACACGAATTTGTGTTGGATGAAGAGAGCGCCCCTGTCTACGTCCCCGTCCGGTCCTGAATTATCAGCAATAACGCTAGAACTCGACTCAGGCGCAACTTACCTTTGTAGTCCCGAAAATAAAGGCGCAGGTGCCGCTGTGAGTATAAAATTTTTTCCCTGAACAAGTCGAACTTGTTCAGGAAGAGTACGAACGAAGCCTCGCGGAAGAAGGGGTTGTTGACGATTTGGCCGAAGAGGTTGAGGCTTTCGTCCAGGCGGTTGACGCTGGGGTCCTCCTGTAACGAAACGGGAAATTGTTGTTGTGGCCAAAAAAAAAAAGTTTTGTTTGAGCTGTTGTTAAGTTTACGGTTCATTAGTTGGAAAAAATGTCGCGGCATTTTTTCATCTCTAATCGAAGTAAACAAGGATTTTTTTTGCAAATATTTTTCTAAATCTGAGTAATTTCTGATAAGGTTGCAACGATTTCGGTTAAAGCGGTACTGTTTAGATAAAAATCTGATGAAAATGCGTCAATTTACTAGATTAATTGCGTCAGTGGTTTTTTATGAACTAAAAATAGCCATGCCGTCCCTAATAACAATTATATTAATTTACAATTAACGTTTTTTCGAAAAAAATGTCGAAATTATTGCACAAAGAATACTTGTCAGGTTATTTTTGATTCAAGATTAATAATTCGTTAGATGAAATTGATTACATTATTAATTTGTTCAGCTGTTGTTCGCTAGTAGGAATGTCAGTAGTCAACGGACAGCTGAACCGATTACAAAGAACGATTTATATTTTTTATTATTTATTATAATTATATAATAATTTATTTATAGCTGTTATAATATAACCAAACAAAATAAATCCTGTTCTTATAGAAGTCGTTTTTGTCTACTTTAAATTAATATATAATAATAAAATAGATTCTTAATTTATCGTTAACTGAAAAATTTTCAGATCAAAAGGAAGTTTTGTGTAATAACTTGATTTAAAAAAATATTTTTAGGTGTTTTTTAAAACTGAATTAAATAAAAAACAAATTTAAGTTTTTTAAACCTAAAAGTAATATAAAAAGGAATTTTCATAATTAAGTTCTGCGATATCTTATCTCTGTAAGGAAATTCTGATGCGCCAAGCTTAATTCGCTAAATATACAACTGTAAAATTGTGTTTTTATCGTGACACTATAATAGTGTATATCATCATTCATCAGCTTCCGATAGATAAGCATTTTAAGAAAAAAGTTGTTTATTTTAGTCAGGAAATTCCCAAACATTCATTTCTGCAATCAAAGCTTATCAGAGTTTAACCAAAAAGATTACGTACAGTTGTTTACGCAGAATTTTTGACTCGGAAGCACAAGTACAGACACTGCATACAATTTTTTAAATTGCTTTAACAAAAAAAGCATCTTAACAAAATTTCAGAAAGGAGTATTTGAATTTTTGAAAAAAAAAATCTGCGGTGTTGGGCAAATAGAAGCGAATTGTTATAGACATTTAATCATTCCTGATATAGCAATTAGGGTTCTTAGGGATCCTAAAATAAAGTACCATATTCTCAAATTTTCTCGAAAATGAGGTGACTCTTTCTTGTTTTGATCAATAAAATAAAATATTTCATTCATTCATTTTTCTGCGCCCTGTATAAGCAATTCTAAATTAAAATTTATAAGGTGTGGCGTTCAGAATTTACGAAGTACGGTGGTCGTCGATTATAAAGAAACTTAATATTACTATGCAAACTTTTGAGGTGACGCCATCAAATTGTAAGTGGAGACAATTAGACAAATTTTGTTTTTCGGTTTACTTATCTACGCGATATTCCTAAAATACATATAAAATTTAACAACAACCAGTCCGGTAGTTTTGGCGATTACGTACCCAATACATATCACCATAGACAGACCGAACCGACAAGAGACAAACCGAGAGAAAGAGAGAACAGAGAGAGCGAAAAGACAAACAGATAAACAACAAAATGACACAGTTACAACAGAACAGAACAAACAAATAGATCACACAGAAATGACAGCCAGAACAAAGACAGACAGAATGGACCGAACAGAATCAACAGAACGGACAGAACAGTATAAATAAAATATAGAACAGACCAGACGGGTAAGAACAGAACAAACAGAACAGACGAGACAGAGCAGAACAAACAAACAGAACCAAACAGACGGAACAGATTAGAATATACGGGACAAGACAAATCGGACGGATTACACAGAACAGACGGGACAGACAGAATAGACAGGAGAGACAGCACATACGGGACAGATAGAACAGCCGAAACAGATAGAACGGACGGGACAGATATAACAGACGGGACAGATACAACAGACGGGGAAGATACAACAGACGGGGCAGATACAACAGACGAGGCAGATGCAACAGACGGGACAGATACAACAGACGGGTCAGACACAACAGACAGGTCAGATCCAACGGACGGGACAGATGCAACAGACGGATAGATACAACAGACGGGGCAGAATAGATAGAACAGACACGACAGAACAGAACAAACAAACACAACCAAATAGACGGAACAGATCAGAATATACGGGAGAGGACAAAATGGATAGATTAGATAGAACAAACGGGACAGACAGAATAGACGGGACAGACAGAACAGACGGGACAGACAGAAGAGACGGGATCGATAGAATATACGGGATAGATAGAACAGACAGATTAGACAGAAGAGACGGAAGAGATGGGGACATATAGTACAGACGGGATAAATAGAACAGACGGAAGAGATACAACAGACGGAACAGAACAAATAGAACAGACACCACAGAACAGAACAAACAAACAAACAGAACAGAAAGACGGGACAAAACTGAACAACGGGACATAACAGAATAGACGGGACAAAACAGAACAGGAAGGATAGACAGAGCAGAACAAACAGATTAGACAGACGGGACAGATCAAAATAAATGGGATAAGACAGAACAGACGGGACACATGAGAACAGATGGGACAAATGAAAACAGATGGGGCATATGTGAACAGACGGGGCAGACCAAACATACGGGAGAGACAGAAGAGACGGGATATACAGAACAGACGGGACAGACAGAAAAGACGAGACAGATAGAACAGACGGGGCAGAATAGATAGAACAGCCACGACAGAACACAACAGAACAAACAAACTCCACCAAATAGATGGAACAGATCACAATATACGGGACAGGACAAAACGGATAGATTAGATAGAACAGACGGGACAGATAGAACAGACGGACAGACGAGACAGACAGAAGAAACTGGAGAGACAGAACAGACGGGATAGATACAGCAGACGGGATAGATACAACAGACGGAACAGACAGCATAGAACAGAACGAACAAACAAACGAGACAGAACAGGACGGACAAATCAGATTAAACAAACAGAACAGGACAGACAGAGCAGAAGAAACAAAACATACAGACGAGACAGATCAAAATAAATGGGACATGACAGTAGAACGGAACAGAACAGAACAGACTGGACAGAACAGAACAAACAGAGCAGACAGGCGGAACAAGACAGATAGGAGAAGAGGGACAGATAGAACAGATGGGACAGAACAGAGCAGATGGCAAAGAACAGAATAGATAGAACAGAAGAGAACACACGGACAGAAGAGAACAGACGGGACAGAGAGAAGAGACGAGATAGAGAGAACAGACTGGATAAACAGACAGATGGGACAAAATAAAATAGACGGGACAAGATAGAAGAGGAAGGACAGAACAGGACAGACAGAGCAGAACAATCAAAACAGGAAAGACAAAGCAGAACAAACAGAACAGAACAGACGGGACATATGAGAACAGAGGGGACATATGGCAACAGATGGGACAGAAGAGATGGAACAGAGGGGAACAGAACAGAACGGGGCAGAAAGGACAGAAGAGAACATAACAACCGGAACAAAAGAGAGCATAATAGACGGGACAAAAGGGAACGTAACAGACGGGACAGAATAGAACGTAACAGACGACACAGAAGAGAACGTAACAGGTGGTACAGAAGAGAAGAGAACAGAACAGAACACAACCAATAAAACGAACAAACAGACGGGATAGAACAGAACAGACGGGATAGAACAGAACAGAACAGATGGGATAGAACAGAACAGACGGGATGGAATAGAACATGCAAGACGGAACAGAACAGAACATGCAAGACAGAACAGAACAGAACATGCATGACGGAATAGAGCAGGACAGAACAGAGACAGAACGAAACAGAAGGGACAGAGTACAACACACGAGACAGAACCAACAAACAAAACAGACAGAACGAAACAGACATGGAAGAAACAGACAGAACACAATAAATGCAATAGAAAAGAACAGCATGCATAGAACAAAACAGAACAGACGAGATAGAACAGAATAGGCGGGACAAAACAGAACAGAATGGACAGAGCAGAACAAACAAAACAGACAGAGGGGACAGATCAAAATAGATGGGACAGAACAGAGTAGAACGGAACAGACTAGATAGAACAGAACAAACAGAGTGAACAAGCCGAACAAGACAGATAAAAGAAGAGGAACAGATAGAAGAGATGGGACAGAACAGAACAGATGGCAAAGAACAGAATAGACAGCAAAGAACAGAATAGACGGCACAGAAGAGAACAGACGGGCAGAAGAGAATAGATGGGACACATGAGAACAGCCGGGACACATGAAAACAGACGGGACACGTGAAAACAGACGGGACACATGAAAACAGACGGGACACATGAAAACAGACGGGACACATAAGAACAGACGGGATACATGAGAACAGATGGGAGATATGAGAACAGACGGGACAGAACAGAACAGACGGACGGACAGACAGAACAGATAGGACAGGGAGAACAGGGATAGATAGAACAGATGGCACAAACAGAACAGACGGGACAGACAAAAGAAATGAGACAGACAGAACAGATGAGACAGACAGAACAGACGGGACAGATAGAACAGATGAGACCGACAGAACAGACGGGACAGACAGATCAGACGGAACAGATAGAACAGACGGGATGGATAGAATAGACTGATCAGATAAAACAGACGGAACAGAACATAGAACAGACACAACAGAACAGAACAAACAGGCAGACGGGACAGAACCAGGCGGTCAAAGTAGATTAAACAAATAGAACAGACAGACGGGACAAAACAGAACAACGGGACACAACAGAATAGACGGGACAAAACAGAACAGAAAGGACAGACAGAGCAGAACAAACAGAATAGACAGACGGGACAGATCAAAATAAATGGGACAAGACAGAACAGACGGAACAGGCAGAACAGATGGGATAGATAGAATAGACGGGACAGATACAACAGACGGATCAGATACAACAGACGAGACAGATATAACAGACGGGACAGATGCAACAGACGGGGCAGAATAGATAGAACAGACACGACAGAACAGAACAAACAAACACAACGAAATAGACGGAACAGATCAGGATATACAGATACAACAAACAAATAAACAGACAGACGAGAAAGAACAAGGCGGACAGAGCAGATTAAACAAACAGAACAGACAGACGGGACAAAACTGAACAACGGGACAAAACAGAACAGAAAGGACAGGTACAGCAGAAGAAACAAAACAGACAGACAGGACAGATCAAAATAGATGGGACATGATAGAGTAGAACGGAACAGAACAGAACAAACAGAGCAGACAGACCGTACAGAGCAGGACGGACAATGAAGATTAAACAAACAGAACAAACAGACAGGCGGGACAAAACAGTATAGACGGGACAAAACAGAATAGACGGGACAAGACTGAAGAGGAAAGACAGAACAGGACAGACAGAGCAGAACAATCAGAACAGGACAGACAGAGCAGAACGAACAGAACAGATGCGCCGGACAGAACAGACGGGACATATGAGAATAGAGGGGACATACGGGAACAGACGGGACAGAACAGAACAGATGGACAGAACAGAACAGACGAAACAGAGAGGAACAGAACAGAACGGGACAAAAGAGAGCATAATAGACGGGACAGAAGAGAACATAACAGGCGGGAGAGAAGAGAACAGAACAACCAATAAACAGAACAGACAGACATAATGGTCAGACAACCAGGACAGACGGGACAGACAAAACAGACGGAACAGAACAGAACCGACGGGATAGAACAGAATAGACGGTATAGAACAGAACAGACGGGATAAAACAGAATAGACGGGATAGAACAGAATAGACGGGAGAGGACAGAACAGACGGGATCGAACAGAACAGACCCGCATAAAACAACAGACAGGATAGAACAGAACAGAACATGCAAGACGGAACAGAGCAGAGCAGAACAGGCATAGAGACAGAACGAAACAGACGGGACAGAGTACAACATACGAGACAGAACAGACAAACAAAACAGTCCTACAGGCAGAACGAAACAAACACGGAAGAAACAGACAGAACACAATAAACGCGATAGAACAGAACAGACGGCACAGTACAACACAGAACAGAACAGGAGGGACAGAACAGAACGACAGACAGAACAAACAGAACAGAAAGGACAGAATGACAGACAGACACAACAGACAGGCAGACGGACAGAACAAACGGAAGACCTATTTTTTTCATATTCTAGGGGCTATGAAATGTCGAGAAAACATAACGTAGCCGCTCGTCAGATATACTTTATTATTGCTATTACTTTTGTCTGTAGTTATATTGTAAAAAGGAGTTTTCCCTTAATAAATTAAATTAATTAATTGATTGTAATTAAGTATGCTTCCCCAGCTTACACTCAGGAAATAGTTACAGATATTTTTTAGACTAATATTCATTCATGGTCTCAAAAGCAGCTTATAACTGGAAACCTGCATCTTAGTTTTGTATAAGGTGCAAACGCCAAAAAAAAATCTAATACTTTTGTAAAATTAGAATCAACTAGCGTTCCAAAGTGAAACAACTAATTGCGTCAAAATTGTGTACATTATTTCGTTGGCATTTATTTCAAAGTGTTAAAACTTGCAAAAAAACAGAATCCTGTAAAACCGTAAAAAATATAACATAATTACCAATAATGACATATCATATCCACTCAGAGAAACCACAAATAGAACAGCCCGGACGTCATCAAAGCAATAAATCCACTTCCTCCTCTGAGACCTCTGCCCACCAACATCATACATGCTGACAATCATATCATTAATCCGAAAATGAGTTTCAATAATTCCTTGAGTACGTACACGCGCCCTCAACACATCCGTCGGTGTTGGCACATATTTAGGATCACAGATTCGTTCCATATTTTCAAATAAACTGCAAACAACAAAATAATTAGCTCCACTGCAAAACCCCCAAACCACCACTTACTAAAGCGCAGAGTCGTTCAACTCGTACTCATAGCCTCTAGCTACCGCTAATCTCACCCCCCTGTCTGACCACAACGCTTGTAAAGAAGCTGCCACGTTCGGAAGCACAGTAAAACTCATATCAAAACAGCTGCGACTCATCAGAACAACTTGAGCGTGAGTTTTGTTCCTTGGCTGCTCCAAATTAATACGTAGGATACCCATGCCGGCCAAGACATACTTCATGGAAGCTAAAAGGTTGTCTAATACTGTGGGTCTGAAGCTGCTGAGCTCGGCATGGGTGAACCCGTCGGCGTGGATGATTTTCATCTGTTTGACCAAGGTGCTTTTGCCGCTCTCGCCGGCACCTGAAATCGGGCGAAAATTGAGTTGTTTTGGAGGAAGTGAGTCACTGAGGTGTTGGCTTACCGAGAAGCAGGATTTTGATGACATTGCTCTGCTGCTTGGCGAGCTCTCCGAGCTGTCTGTCGATTTCTTCAGAGCGCTTCCGGGCCTTACCTTCTTCACGTTCTAGCGATAAACATGCACCCATGGTTTGCACATCACGGAAAGGTTCATTAAAATGATGGGCTTTAATGGAGCTGTGATAGGTTAGCCAGATGGGGTTTCATTATTGGCTCAAGGCCATTTGTATTAAGGACACTGGAAGAAGCGGCGGCGCAATTGAGTTAGAGGCGATTAATGCACAACACAACGATCACAATTACGGTAAATTAGGGTTTTAAATAAATAACGAACAAAGGAGTATTGTTTATGTAAATGTCAAAAAATGCACAGTGCTGCCCCCTACGCCAAACGTCACGGCTCTTTAAAAAGTGAAATTACGTAATTGAAAGCGGTGGCATTTCAAAAAGTACAGACGAATTATTAAGTGAGAATTTGTACTTTTTATGTGTGAACAATTTTTCATTAATCACTCTTTAATCGAGATTTTTTTTTAAATATTAGGGAATTTCCGTGTTAGTCAGTTGGCGTCCGTGGAAATGGCCGTTTTTCGTTTACATTCCGCTGTGTTCTGTCATAATTTAAATCGGTGATTTTTGTCGCTTTATTTTTCTTTATACTTTGTTTCAAGTTTTATGTATATTCTTTACAATGAGTACGTTGGAATCGTCGGTCTCGATAGGGCCAGATTCGAAGTTTTACAAAATGAAGCAACTGGTGAATGCCATTCAGCTGTATTTTCAGACGAAAAGGGAGGACACCGCTATGGTTATCAACATGCATTTGCAGGTAGGAATAATTTTTAGGCGTTTTTAGGATTTAATGGAACTTCAGAAGACAGGTTTTCTATGTCTGTGATGTTTACTTACACGTAAAGACCCAAAGACAACAATGTCACCAGTGGCGGTCCGTGAATGAGGGTAAACTTGGGTATAGTTAGGTTAACTTTGAAAAAGTGTCAGGAACAACATTTGGTTCTATCTTAAAGGGCAGATTTGTTCATTTATTAGACGTTTTAACACTTTTAACATTAAAAAATTTAAATGTCTAATTACAAGACAAATTTTGGCAATTTCTATTCAATAAAAAATTAAGCTAACTATACACATTAAAAGAATGCAGTTTTACCATCACTTTTATACCTTTCATGATAAACATATGCAAATTTATTATTTACCAGAGGTTTGTGCAATGACGTATTTGAATTTTGTAGTAGTTGTTATAACGACTGTGACGTCACGTTGACACAAGTGACATCTGTAACCACGTCATTTTTTCTTACAAAATCACGGTTACTTCGACACACATGCGCATTTTATTCAAAAGCTTGATATTTTATAGTTTTAAAACTATGGATGCATTGTAATAGAATCAATTTGACGAAAGGTTAATTTCAGGCTCTTTTGACATTTCATAATTCCGTTTCTATTTGTGTGGCAAAATTTTTTTTTTTTCGCTCGAAAAACTTGAGGACGTCATTTTAAAATTTTTGCTTGACAAAAGGCACAAAATATTATGGGTCTACATCCGTGGTTTATCATTATTAGCATATTCATTTTTTTATCGCCTTTTTATTTATTTTTACAATAGGGTTTTTTATCTTCTCTTTTGTAATGGCTTTTTTTTGTTGTATGTATTTCCGACTTTTTTGTCACTTTCTTTTTTTGGCGTGTTTTTTTGTGCCTTTTTTACTGCAATATTTATACACAATTTTTTACTCAATGCGCTGTAACTTGCCAAAGAACCAGTAAAGTTAATTGCCGTTTTTTTTGTTGTTTGTTGTTTTCAATCGCATTTTTTTGCTTTTATTTTGTCTTATTTTTTTGTGACCTTTTTGTTGTCTTTATTTTTGTCACTTGTGTATTTTTCGTTCCGTTTTTATACCTTTTTATTGTCCTCAATTTAATACCCTATTGTAGTTTGTTTTTTCGGTCGGTTTTCCGACTATTTTTTTTATAGCATTTTTTCTCTCCTTTTTTTTTACTTTTCTTTATAGCGTTTTTTTGCCGGTTTTTTTTGTGTTTTTTTTTTGTCTGTATAATTTTGTTGCCTTTTTTATCGCCCACTTTTCTTGTTTTCATCGTTTTTTTCTTCCAAATTTTTTTCTCTTTCCTCTGTCGCATTTTTATCTCCCTTTTTATCACATTTTTTTCGCTTTTGGTATATTTATTGTCTACGTTTTTCATCTCACTTTTGTGTTGCGTTTATTGGTCCATTTTTTAAAATTTTTTTGTATCACCTTTTTTTCCCACCAATTTTTTTGGGCGTATTTTTCATCTCTTTTTTTAAACCCTTTTATTATCTTATTTTTTTATCTCATTTTTTGCCACTGTTTTGTGGTCTTTTTGGAACCTTTTTTTATCCTTTTTTTATCGCATTTTTTGTTGCATTTTGTTTCTCTTTAACCGCTTTTTTGCCCTCTTTTTGGGGGTTTCTTTTTGTAGAGTATTTTTTGTTTCATTTTTATACTCTTTTATCGTTTTCAATTTTTATCTCATTTTTTGCCAATATTTTATAGTCTTTTTCGAGTCTTTTTTTTGTCCTTTTTTAATCACCCTTATTGTAGCATTTTTATCTCTTCTTTTAATCACCTTGTCATACTTTTCGTTCCTTTTTTAATCCCCTTTTATTACCCTCGTTTTTATTCCCATTATCACTTTTTTCATTCTCTATTGATTTTATTTTTTATGCTTTTTTCGGTTGATTTTTTGTAGGTTTGTTTTTAACATATTTATGTTATATAGCATTTTTTGTCATGGTTTTAGTGGACTTTGTAGTTTTTTAATATTTTTTTTGTACATAAGTATTTATATTATAGAATTGTTTTTGTACTGGTTTTTGTGGAGTTTTTGTAATCTTTTTTGTTGCCTTTTTTATGTTTTTTGTCTTTATTTCTCTTTTTTTGTCGTTTTTGTACTCTCCTTTATTGTTTTCTTTTTTGTAGCATTTTTGTCTCTTTCTTTAATTGCCTTCTCATCATGGAGCATTTTTCGTTCCTTTTATAATCCTCTTTTATTATCCTCACTTTAATCCCCTATTGTGTTTTTTTTGCTTTTTTCGGTCGATTTTTTGACTGTTTTTTTAATAGCATTTTTGTCTTCTTTTTTTACTTTTCTTTATGTGTTTTTTCCCTTCCACAATTTTGTTGCCTTTTTATCGCTAATTTTTTAATTTCATCGTGTTTTTTTTTTCATTTTTTCTGTTTCCTTTGTGGCATTTTTATCCCCTTTTTCCGCCTTTTGTCATATTTATTGTCCACATTTTTCATCTCTCTTTTATGTTGCGTTTATTGGTCCTTTCTTTTTGCTTTTTTTTCAACGACTTTTTGTCGCGTTTTTTTCGTCTCTTTTTTTTGCACTCTTTTATTATCTTCATTGTTTATCTCATTTTTTGCCACTGTTTTGTGGCCTTTTTTGGAACCTTTTTTTGTCCTTTTTTAATCGCATTTTTTATTGCATTTGGTCTCTCTTTAACCGTTTTTTTGTCCCCTTTTTTGGCTTTCTTTTTGTAGAGTATTTTTCGTTCCATTTTTATACCCTTTTATCATCTTCATTTTTTATCTCATTTTTTTTGCCAATATTTTGTGATCTTTTTTGAATCTTTTTTTTTTGTGTTTTTTTAAGCGCCTTCTTGTGGCATTTTTGTCTCTTTCTTTATTCACCTTGTTGTCATCTTTTTTTGGCCTTCGTTTTATGGAGTATTTTTCGTTCCTTTTTTAATCTCCTTTTATTACCCTCGTTTTTATCTCCACTATCGCTTTTTCGTTTTCTGTTGATCTTTTATTACTTTTTTTTTAATGCTTTTTTTGTCGGTAACTTGCAGGTTTTTTTTAATGTTTTTAGGTTATAGCATTTTTTGTCATGGTTTTTGTGGACTTTTTGTAACCTGTTTTTGTTGCCATTTTTGTTTTTTTCTCTTTATTTCGCTTGTTTTTTCGTTTTTGTCGTCTCCTTTATCGCTTTTTTCGTTTTTTGTAGTTTTATTTTTTTTGCTTTTTCGGTCGATTTTTTTTGTAGCTTTTTAATATTTGTATGCTTTATAACATTTTTTGTCATGGTTTTAGTGGACTTTTTGTGACCTTTTTTTGTTGCTTTTTTTTTGTTTTTTGTCTTTATTTCTCTTTTTTTTTTCTCGATTTTGTAGTCTCCTTTATTGATTTTTTTGTAGCATTTTTATCTCTTTCTCATCGCCTTCTTGTCATCTTTTTTTTGGGATTCGTTTTGTGGAGTATTTTTCGTTCCTTTTTTAATTTTCTCTTTTATTACACTCGTTTTTATCCCCATTGTCGCTTTTTTCGTTTTCTGTTGTTTTTTGTACCGTAAAAAAGCAAAAATTTTTGTTTTTTCGGTCGATTTTTTTGTAGTTTTTTAATGTTTATATGTTTTATAACATTTTTGTCGTGGTTTTTTGTGGACTTTGTGTAACCTTTTTTTGTTGCCATTTTGTCTTTTTTTTAATCGCGTTCTTGTCATATTTTTTTTGGCTTCGTTTTATGGAGTATTTTTCATTCCTTTTTTAATTCCATTGTATCACCCTCGTTTTTATCCCCATTATCGCTTTTTTTGATGCTTTTTCGGTTGATTTTTTGTAGTTTTTTAGTATTTTTTATGTACATATATTATAGTTTTTTTTTTTCTAATGGTTTTTGTGGAGTTTTTGTAACCTTTTTGTTGCCTTTTTTGTTTTTGTTTGTCTTTATTTCTCTTTTTTTTCTCTCTTTTTTGTCGTCTCCTTTATTGCTTTTTTTGTAGCATTTTTGTCTCTTGCTTTAATCGCCTTCTTGTCATCTTTTTTTTTGGCTTTCGATTTGTTGAGTATTTTTCGTTCCTTTCTTAATTCCCGTTTGTTATCCTCGTTTTTATCCCCATTGTAGCTTTTTTCGTTTTCTGTTGTTTTTTTGTACCTTTTTTGCTTTTTCGGTCAATTTTTTTGTAGCTTTTTAATATGTTTTATGCCCATATAGCATTTTTTTTTGTCGTGGTTTTTGTGGGTTTTTGTAGCTTTTTTGTTGCCTTTTTTATGCTTTTGTCTTTTTTTTTCCCTCACTTTTGTCCTCTCCTTTATCTCTTTTTTTGTGGTATGTTTGTCTTTAATCGCCTTGTTGTCATCTTTTTTTTGGTCTTCGTTTTTTGGAGTATTTTTCGTTTCTTTTTTAACCCCCTTTTATTATCGTCGCTTTTATCCCCATTATCTCTTTTTTCTTTTTTTTTTTGTTGTTTTTTATCACTTTTGCATTTTCGATGGTCTTTCGGTCCATTTTTTTTGCAGCTTTTTATTGTTTTTAAGTTTTATAGCATATTTTTGTCATGGTTTTTGAGAGCTTTTTGTAACCATTCTTTTTGCCTTTTTACGTGTTTTGTCTTTTTTTTTTGTTTTTCTCGTTTTTGTCGTCTTCTTCGTCGCTTTTTTTTGTGGCGTTTTTTGTCTTCCATTTTTAATTGTCTTTTTTCGCCTTCTTTTGTTATTTTTTTATCACTTTTGTTATTGCTTTTTGTCGCATTATCCGTCGATTTTTTGTCGCTTGTTATTCCTAATTTTATAGCATTTTAAACCCACAGTTCTTGTGGATTTTTTGTAACAATCTTTTGTCGTCATTTTTATTGCTTTTTTGTGGTCATTTTTATTGCTTTTCTTTGTCACGTATTTTTCGTCCCTCTCTTAATTCCTTTTTTTATACACATTTTCATCCTAATTGTTGCGTTTTTTCGTCTTCTTTTGTTGATTTTGTCATCTTTTTCTTGTTTTCGGTCATTTTTGACGCATTTTTTCGCCTTTTCGAAGTTTTTGAATCATTATTTTTGTGAACTTTTTCTAACCTTTTTGGTCGCCTTTTTATACTCTTTTATTATCTTCATTTTTATCCCCTATTGTCACTACTTTCACTTTTTTTTTGTCGCTCGTCCAAAAATTTTGCGAGGATTCCAAATAAATTATTCCGAGAGAGCAATTTTGATAGAATTTTCAGCTTGTTATATCGGTAATTTGAAAGTATGAGTCGAAAATGCATCGATCAAAGACAAACTTTTCAAAATCCACGGCTGTCTTGATCGCGTTTTTTATTACTGTCTTTATGTTGTCTAGATTCTTCGATTTACTCCAATTTTTCTACGTTTCGAAGACTATTTTTTGTTCATCTTCACGATTAGATAGATGATTTAGTTGGTGTTACAGAGTCATTGTACAACTAAAACTTCGTACTTCTACTTTAGATCAAAAATGAGTAATTTTACAACCGTACAAAAAATAATATCACAACAGACTTTGAAAATCGTTTTTTTAAAGTCACACAAAATTCTTTTCAGAGCCTTAGCGTGACAATCGACCTCAGCATCTTCGACCCCCACTCCACCATCGCGCCGCAGTTTTTTGTAAGCTTGTACGAACTCATGAACAAGATGGAGCAAAGATCCTCCTTCGCTTGGAACTGCGTGGACGTCCTCTCCAACATCTGCCGAAACCCGCCCGCCCGTCAAGCCCTAATCCACACATACCAATTCGTGCCCAGCCTCTCCAGACTCCTAAGCGACCAGCTATCGAACGAAAAAAAAATTCGACTACTCCGACTGATGCAAGACCTCACTTGCGGCATAAAGATCTCGTGGCAAATACCGCACTTGCCTCACCTAATGGTCACCCTAAGCGAGTGGATCGAGAACTCGAACGAGGAAATCATCACTCTATCGATGGGGATTTTGGTAAATTTGTGCTACAAAAACCTGCCGGCGATTTACACGTTGTTGGGGAACGTCGACGTTAAGAAGATTTTGCAGATTTGCTCGGCGATGAGTGTAGGTTTATTATCATTATTATTAGAGAGCGGATTTATAAGCACAAAAAAATTAAGAATAAGCGCTTAAATAAGCAACATTTTCAATAAAAAAGTTTTATTTTAAGCGAAAAAGCATTAAAAACATAATCATATTACAAATCAAAGAACACTTCTTAGAACTTTGGATAAAATATTATTACCAGTACGCGGGAATTTGTTTCACCGCTGCAATCCCCCAGTTGAAGTAAGGTGTGTTTTACGGCGAGTAGCGGGGACGCCTTGATCTGGTCCACAAGGTTGTAGCCAGTGCGTCGCTAGGAGTGTTTACAGCTAGTAAAAAAACTACTTCTATATTACTATATTACTTCAAATAATAATACTTCATGCCCTTTTTAATTTTTCAACCACAGGACCACAGATTTGTAATCTTGAAATGTTATATTATGTTGAAATAGTCCAAAAGAAAAATATATTTGTAATCAAACTATCGCCGCGACAGCACTGGTTCTAGCGTATGAGATACAATTCCGCGCGTTGATTATTACAATAATCCTAGACTTTATATTTTACACACGTATTTCAGTTTTCTTTAAAACAATTTATGATTGTAATATGTTCCAAGTTGTCCACTGTAAAATTTTTTCGCCGATCATTTAAAATGTGTTTAAAATTGGAGAATGTGCGTTCAACATCCACACTCATGGTTGGCGCAAATTTGAATTTTGCAACTAATGTTGAATCTAACTCCAAATTTTCCACCTTCTGGCCTTGTAAAACACGAGCAACGTCGGAAAGAACACCGAAACCTGCATTTTTATTTAACACTTCGTCAAGTTTTTGAGATACTCTAGTACCAATATCACCCCTTACTGCGTTTGCTTGTTGTTTAAATTCTTTCACTAAGTTTATGGCATCTACCAACAACATGTTGGGTTTTTCTAACTTTTCTATTACCTCACATACGAATTGATAATTGCTTCCTAGAAAAGCTAGATCTTGTCGCAAATCTTTGTTTTCCAAAATATTTATGCAATCTTTAATCGATTGAGAAGAATCTTCGCTAAACTCCGTAACTACTTCCTCAAATTTTTTGATATATTTGTCATAATAAAATGTGACCTGTAACCATGTTCCCCACGGGGGCAATGGTATGTTTGGAAATTTTTCCTTAAAATGTTGCACTCTTATAAGTGGGGCTTTAACAAAAATCTTTTTACCATTTGCCACTAATTTATTAACAGTAGGAAACTGCAAACGTATTCCTTCAGCCACTCTGTTTAAACCATGGGCAATGCAAGTAGAGTGAATTAAATTGAGGTACAATATTTTCGGTAAAAATATTCTGCTCAGTATAATATTTTTTCGACAAGTTACCTTTACCGATATATTATTATACAATTGTTCAGTGGAAAATATAAATGTCATATAACAATTTTTTTGTTACAGTAACTAATTTTAACGATATGTTTTTATCATGGAAGTTATGTATATTATTCATTTTGTTCAGTAAATAAAACTATTGTCCTGTAAAAATAACGAAAGCTTAGTTAAAAATGTTGGATGTACAGTAGAAATCATAACATTCAGTAGAAATTGAACAGGTTTGTTAGAAAATTATGATGTTCTTTATAGTTAACACCCACACATGATACATAACCTCATTATTTTTTTAGAATATGCATGTTAATCTTTATTACATATATAGAATCATTTATTCAGTGGCGTAGCTAACTTCCACTGCCCCCCCCCCCCCCCCCCCCCCGCAGTTTATAGTAAGCGCCCCCATACACCAAATTTAAAAAGTAATATAAAATTAATATGAAATTACTGATTTACCAGTAGTGGCGCCGAATAACACAGATTTACAAATAATAATAATTTATACACATATAATTTTTAAAAATTGTTAATTGATTATACTGGCTTCATTCGACGTTGTCGAGAGTTCATAAATTCGCGTATGACACTGTCGAGATCTAATTTTTGGGATCGATCACACTCAATGCTCAACACAGCTAAGTTGGTTAATCGTGTTTGACTCATCGTGCTTCGCAAATACGATTTAATTAATTTTAATTTAGAAAAAGATCTTTCTGCCGTTAAAAAATTATTGTCCATAAACAGAAACTTGGCAATATCTGTAATTTTAGTTATTTTTGCTGAATAATTTCACCAACAACATTGTTTTTAAAACTAACGATTTGCCCACAGATTGCACTAGAAATATCTTCTTCGTATTTATTTGCCAACTTTGATGCTGCCTCCACAAATTTTTCATCTGTACTATTCAACATTTCCTGTGGTTCCAGAAAAGAAAAATAGTTTCTGACGTTTTTCATGCTTTCAAACCTATCTTTAATTTGAATGTTTAAAATATCAAGAGCAGGATAGAAAACGGTTGTTTTAAATTTTTCAGTGGGATCTTTGAAAACGGTATCTTCACATAATTCGTCATGAAACAGTTTCACTTTTTTTATACGTTTATTTGAAAAAGAATTGTTAATTTTCCAGGTATCAGCACATTTCCTTGATTCCTCCATTATTTGTTCAAAATTGTCACGTATACTTTGAAATTTGTCTTTTAGATGTTCCATCCATTTACAAACCTCATCTAAAGTAATATTTGAAGTTTTTGAGACTAAATTAACATTTTCTAAAATTTTGCATTGAAATACTAATAGAGCAACAAATTCAAATGAATCCATTTTTTTACGAAGAGCTACAGCTTCATCTATTTCACTTTTCTTTTTTGATGTTAAAATAATTTCAGCTCATAACTGTTGAGAGATTATATCTAATGGCAATTAGAGAATTAAATCTCGATGACCATCTGGTGGGGCATACCTTTTTTAAAGTTTTTTTTTTTTATAACACACTTATCATTTTCTTTCATCTCAATGTTAAGTTGTTGCCATCTCGGTAAACTCTCACTGAAATAGACGTATATAGCATTTATTAAATCATAAAATGCGGAAATTCCTGGTACATTCTTAACAGAATCATTAAGGACTAAATTGAGGTTATGTGTAGCGCAATGAACATATTCTGCGTAATGATGTTCTTTCAAGTTCTTCATTTTTTTTTTATACCATTTTCCCGATTTTTTAATTTTCATTTTCTGAATTTGATATCACAATTTTTCGTTTATTCAATGCCTCGATTTTCCAATTTTCAATATTTAGATTTTACAATAATTTTCGTGTTTTCGACCGCAATTTTTCGATCTTTAAGTTTCTCAATTTTTAATCTTTCGATTTTTGAATTTTCGGTTTCTTCATATTCTCAAGTTTTTCGATTTCTCGAAGCTTTCATTTTATACTTTTGCGTTTTTTCATTTTGAGTTTTCAATTTTACAATTTTTCTATTTTATAACTTTTCCATTTTGTTTATTCAGAAAGTAGAAAATTCTAAAAAATGAAAAATCGTAAAATTAAAAATTTGGAAAAAATTGAAAAAACAAAAAATTGCAAAATCGATAAAACGGAAAATCGAATGGAATTTGTTTTTACGATTTTTTAACTTCGATTTTTTAAATTTTTTAATCTGTATTTCAATTTTTCGATTTTTGGAATTTTCTTTTTCTCATATCTAGGTTTATCGATTTTTTTGTGTTTTTCGATTTTTCCGTTTATCTTTTTTTTACGTAAATATTTCAATTTTGAATTTTCCGATTTCGGCCTATTTCGATTTCTCGATCTTTTGAAGTCTCAAGTTTTCGATTTCGATTTCTTGGTTTTTCGATTTTCAAAATTTTCGATTTTTCTAGTATATATTTTAAATTTTCGATTTTTAGAATTTTTCATTTTTTCCTTTTATAATCTTTATGTTTCGATTTCCCGATTTTAATTTTTTAATGTGTTTCAATTTTTCTATTTTTGGAATTTCGATTTCTCATATCTTAATTTTCCTATTTTAAAAATTTTTCGATTTCTCGATTTTTAAGTTTTCGCTATCTCAATTTTGGGAATTTTTCAATTTCTATATTTTTCAGATTTTCGATATTTTCATTTTTCCATTACCTTTATTTTTTCAATGTTTCTTTGGATTTTATAATTTTTTGTTTATTCAATTTTTTACATTTTCAATCTTTGATTTTTTAAGTTCTTGATTTCCAATTTTTTTATATTTCGAAGCTTTCATTTTCTACTTTTTCAGTTTTACAATTTTTCTATTTTATAATTTTTCGATTTTGTTTATTCGAAAAGTTAAAAACTCGAAAAAATGAAAAACTGAAACAATGAAAAACTAAAAAAAGAGAAACTTACAAATCTAAAAAAAAAAATGAATGAATCGAAGAATGGGAAAGAAGAAAAATCATTCGAATTGAAAAATTGGAAAGTTCAAAAATTGTAAAATCGAAAAATTATAGAATCTTGAAAATTGTGAAGTCCAAAAACTGTGACATTCAAACACCGAAAAATTGAAAAATTCCAAAAACGAAAAACTGAAAAAGTGAACAACTTTAAAAATTATAGTTATTAGGAGTGTTACATAATTAAAATGAAAACTAGAAAAACTGCAAATGAAAAATTAAAAAAACGGAAAATTGAAAGCCGAAAATTGAAAAAATAAAGAAAATTAAAAACCCACACGAAAAATTGACGAAATTAAAAACTGAAAACTCGTGAAATTTGCAAAGTCTAAAATTTGAAACATCTAAAAGTTGGAAAATCAAAACTGAAAAATCGAGAAATCGAAAATTTTCAAAACTGAAAAGTCGAAAGATTGAAAAATCGAAATTTTGGAAAATCGACAAACCGAGGAATTCAAACTGAAAAAAGATCGAGAATTCAAGATGTCGAAAAATCTAAATATCTAAAATTTAAAAAATAGAAAAATTACAATAACGAAAAATTTAACATTAAAAAAAACACAAAATCAAAAAGTCGAAAAATCGAGAAATTGAGAAATGGAAAAATGAAAATTTAGAAAAACCAAAGATCGAAAAGCATAAAAAAAATTAAAATCGGGAAATCGGAACGTAAAAAAAATAAAATCGAAAAATTGAAAAATTTTAAATTTAAAAATTCGAAAACTTGAAAAACCGAAAAACTGAAGAAATGAAAAACTAAAAAATCGACAAATTGAAAATATCTCAAAACTGAAAAGTCGAAAAATTGAAAAACCCAAAAATCGATTTCCGGTAAGTCGAAAAATCAAAATTTAAAAAGTTGAAAAATGAAAATATCAAAAAACTGAAAAATATAGAGATTCTCAAAATTGAAATGTTGAAAAATTGAGAAATCGAAAACTTGAAAAAAAGAACGAAAAGTAAAAACATTTTAAAATCAAAAAAACGAAAAATCGAGATGTAAGAAATCGAAAATTCTAAAATCGAAAAATTGCAAAACACGTTGAAAAGGTTAAAATCGGGAGATCGAAGCATAACAAAACATAAAATCGAAAAATGAAGAATTTTAAAAATCTAAAAACTTGAAGAAATAAAAAATTGAAAAATGGAAAATCCGAGAAATCGAAATTAAAAAATTGAGACATCAAAAGTTCCGTGAAATGGAGAAATCGAAAAACCGGAAAATTTAAAACTGAAATACATATTTAAACTTAAAAAAAAACGATTAATCAAAATATTCAAAATTCGAAAAATCAGAAATTTTAAAAATCGAAAGATCGAGAAATCGATGTATCAAAAAAGTGAAAAATTGTAAATTAAAAAATTGGAGATATTGAAAAATCCCAAAATTGCAACAACGAAAACTTGAGAAATCGAAAAACTGAAAAATCGATAAATTGGAAAGAGGAAAAATCGAAAAATCAAAGAATTGATTAATAGAGAAATTGAGAAATGTATAAATGAAATTTTTTTTTAAATTGCAAAAATTGTAAAATTGAAATATCGAAAAAGTAAGTAAACTAAAAATCGAGAAATCAAGAAATCGAAAAATTGTAATTCAATTTTGTTTTATTTTTCCACAAAAATTTCGATGTCGAAGATAAAAATTCAATACGGATTCATAGACCATAGGTACACTGTTACTTTTTTTTAATTTATATAACATTTATTTGACAAAATTGTAGAACTGAAGAAACGAAAAATAGAAACATTGAAAAACTAGAAATTGAGAAAAAATTAATGAATCAAAGAACGAATTAAATCGAAAAATATTCGTAAAGTCCAAAAACTAACATTTCAAAGATCGAAAAATTAAAAAATTCCAAAAACGAAAAATTGAAAAAGTGAACAACTCTAATAAAAATTATAATTATTATTACATATCTAAAATGAAAATTAGAAAACCTGCAAATCAAAAATTGAAGAAACGAAAAATTGAAAACAAAAAAAATTGAAAAATCCAAAAACTGAAACATTTCAAATTGAGAAAAAGAAAAAATATAAAAACTCGTTCCTCGCGCGTTAAAATATCTCGATTATTAATCACCTTTATCAACAAACTTGTTCGTTAAATAGCTATTAATTTACCTGATCTTATTTTCAATTCCAATGAAAACCCCTTCTTTAAAAATTGCACATTTTAAAAAAATATATCGGTTACGTTACGGTCTGCGGGGGTGCTATTTACGCCACTGCATTTATTTGTTATAATTGAAACAATGAAGAACGTTTATTGTTATTATTATTTTACTGTTTATTTTTATTTTTTTTATACATGAAAGTGTATTCTATATTTAAATGTGATCTATTTTTTTTTCTTACAATTTTATGTTAATTTTTATAAAGAACAATGTATAGGACTTTATTTATTAAAAATATTGTTTCCTACCTATTGTTACAATTACTATGTACTTATAGATTACTATTTTTTACTAAATATGGGTATTCATTAAAACGTTCCTTCGCCAGTTAGGTCAACCAGACACTCTAGCATTTCTACTGAACATCTATTATTTTTACTAAACACAGCACAATTAAATACTTGCACATTGTACTGGTCAGGTTTTATTTTAACACTTACAATTTCTACTGAACAAACTTATTAATGTACGTAACAAACTATTTAAGTTACCTAAAAAAAAATGCATTTTATACTTATCATTTAATTACAAGCCCAATATTTTTAGATTATTCTCTGCTTTCAACATCTAACGAGCTGCATCCGAGATCATCAATAAAATTTTATTCTCCGGTACGGCATTTGGTAAAAATAGTGACGTAAGACTGTCATTTACAAATCTGGTAATCGTATTGCCATTTGTTTTATCTAACATTTTCAAACTTACTACATGCCCTTGACTAGGGAAATTTTCATTTAAGATTCCAACAATTAAACTTGCCACGTATCTTCCACAACTATCGGTTGTTTCATCGACAGCGAACCATAAATAATTATCTCCAATGCGATGTTTAATTTCGTTGTAAACTTGCTGAAACACTGGGCCTACATAATTTTTTCGGAGAGTACTTTCAACCGGAATATGTCGATTGCAGTGTTTTTCAAGGAATTCTTGAAGAAGGCCTTTCTCCAATTTTTTTAAAGGTATATTGGACTGGATCGTCATTTTACATAAAGCGAAATTAAACTGAAACTGCTCATCTTTTGTGGAAGTAGATGCAACAGATTCATGTTTGGTCTGCTGTTTAATTTTAGAAACTTCAAACATTTTTTTCCTTTCTACATGATGAGTCGTTGTGACATGTTGCGTCACGTTATATTTTTTATCACTTTGAATCTAAAACAACGTACATATACAGGATTGACAAAGGAAAATAGATAAAAAAAAAAATAGTGGGCTTGCGGTTTTCACACAAGCTCTGCAGAATATTTTGTTGTTTTCTAATTTTAATTCTGGAAAATCCCTTATCCACTCATCCGGCGTCGATTTTACTTTCGGCATTCTTTTAAAATATGAGTAATATTACCAAAAAGAACTCAACATGTAACAAGGGAGAACCACGTATAACACTGTACTACGACAGATGCGATAGACTGATGGTTGTGAAATAAACGGTTCATTTACTTAAAAGTTTCCATTAGAAAAATTTTAAGGTAGGTAGTTGGGTACAATAATCCTTTTTTCTAGAAAATCTTCAACGGTCTTGCCGCAAAATGCCAAAAAAGAACATCTGGTTAAAAGCTTTAATTCATTATCAACGGAAGTAAAGATTTAAAGTCATAAAATCTATGGAGTATTTTTCCAATCCTATAATAAAATTTTATTACCCAAACGACCGGAACCTATTCACAGAAAGGGTCTTGACTAAGTGTACTTCAATGGTCAAGTCCAGGTAAAATGCATACGATACGATACGCCTAACTAACAAGTATTTGTCATCCCGACAAGGCCGGCATTTGAACAAAATATGCATTAAAACTCATATTCGTCCAAAAGCATAAAATAAGCATATAAGTTTTAATATGCATAAAATTGAAAAAAGAGCAAATAAGCATTAAAAAAATGTGTCAAATGACTCCAAATTGTACCATAGTTACAGATATAAAAAAGTTTTGAAGTGCTTACATTTTTCACAAAAAGCATTAAACCTAGAAATCCGCTCTCTAATTATTATTATTATTATTATTATAAAGTAGTAATGACTGTGGTAATTGTAGGGACCCACTATTGAAATTCACACCTGCAAGCTTTTGATTTTTTTGGACTACATGAACGGCGACATCCCCGATAATATTCTCCTGAAAGTCATAAAGGTGACTTTCGAATCCGTCATCGAAGCGTATAGGATACGCGACTCGATTCTGCTGCGACAAGTCGTCGAGTTTTTCCTCGACATGGGGAAGCAAAACTCCTTGGAAAATCTAGTCAAAAACGAGCGCTACGACCAGCAACTGGCGGCGTTATTAGATGTAGGTACTGAATTCCGGTGGGCTTTACATTAACCGTTTTCTTCAAGATCGTCCAAAACAACCACTCCATGGAAACCGGCGACAGTAACGTCGAAAATCGGGACCCCGAGTGTATTAGCCTAGTATTCGAATTCCTAAATTTCCTTATCCAGCTCCGGCTTCCCGCCGTCACTTCCATGTACGCCGGCCTTATCCAGTTAGCTTTAAAGTGGATCCACACGGACTTAGTCTCCTCCCAGGCTTTGGCCGTGTTGAAATCCGTTGCGGTAAATGTGGATAAAAATGACAACGGAATACTAGAGCCCCTTGTACAGGGTCTTCCGATTTTTTTGACCACGCTAGACTGCAGTCGGAATGAGGACGGGCCGGAGTACCTTGAGCAAAATTTGAAGATCGCGGGGTTGTTCCAGTTGCTGAAGATAATGGCGCAGGTGCCGTCGATCAGGCCGAAGATTTTGGAGGACTTGAAGCTGGCGACGGTGTGTAAGATTTTCGGGTGTCTGCAGGACGTGGAGGAGCCGGTGAAGGCTAAAGCGAGCGATTTGGATATGGCCAACGTGGAGACGATTAATTTGTACGTGCATGGGATCGCGCTGGTGAACGAGTTGGCCAAGTATGACGCGTCGTGGATGAATTTACAGGGAAATGTGATGGCCAACAAGTACGTATATTGCAGAAATATAACATAATATATATTGTTGGTATATTTTAAAAGTATCATTTAGCTGGTAAGACGTCTGATCAACCCACTAAAAAAAAAAAATCCTACTTAAATTCTGTAAACTATTTTTTGCCTGAGACGTCTAGATTTTTGGTAAAAAACGCCAAAATTGTAAAGCGACATTTTACAATTTAACTTAGAAGCGATAAACCGAGCGGTCTGAAATCAAATTAAATCTCTCGTCAAATTTTTTTTTGAATCTGACGTCATCTCAAAATTTTACTGTATTAATGAAGTCTTTTCTAAAATGCACAATTTGACATCCATAGTAAGTAAATACTACGGGTTTATACCAACATTTGTGGTTCATCGGTGTATTAATATTCTTATAGTTTTTTTTTTTGTTGAATATTTTTCCGTCGCCCCTTTTGAGTCGCTTTTTTGTCGTTTTTGTCTCTTTTTTTATCGCCTTGTTTTGTCGCATTTTTTTATTCTTTTCTTATCGCGTCTTTCCACATTTTTTGTCGTCTTGATTTGTTTTTCTTTGTCCCCTTTTTGTTTGTCGCATTTTTACCACTATGTTGGTCACCTTTTTCGTGTTTTTTTTTTGTTTTGTTTTTTCCCTTTTTGTCGTTTTTGACCTCTTTTTTTTAATGCCTTCTCTTTGCGTTTTATTTTGTAGCCTTTTTAATTTTTTTTGATCGCTTTTTTCGTCTGTCGTTTTTTCGCCTTTTTTGTCGCTTTTCTTTGTGTCGGTTTTTTATCTCTCTTTTGTTTGTCACCTTTCCTTTTTGGTCGCTTTTTATGTCTTTTTTACGCGTTTTTTCGTAGTTTTGTAGCATTTTTTTGTCAAGCGTCTCTCGCCGCCACTTTTTTTGTCGCGTTTTTTATCGAAATTTTTATTAATCTCTTTTTTGCCGCGGTTTTTGTAGTTTTGTCGCGTTTTTTTTTGAGTCCCTATTTTCACATTTTTTTGTCCGTCTTTTTAATATTTTTTTGCCTTTCGTTTTTTTGTCGCAATGTTTTTTGGTTTTCATCGCGTTTCCTTGTCTTTTGTTTGTTATTTTTCTCACTATTGTTTTTTTTTTTTAATAATTTTTTGTTTTGTTTTTGTAATCGCGCTTTTTGTTTTGTTTTTTAATCAAATTTTTCCTGTCACCTTTTTTGTTGCTCTTTTTTTCGCTTTGTCATGGTTTTTGTTCTTTTTTTCGCTGTTTTTCCTTTTTTTGTGTTTTTTGTCGTGTTTTTTCTTCGGCTTGCTTTGTGGCGTTTTTTTTTTTATTGTTTTTACCTAGCATTTTCCCTCCTTTTTTGTTTTATTAATTTTGTTTTCTTTCCATTATTTTTGTCGCCTTTTTTACACCTTTCTTTGCTTTATTTTTTCTCGTCTTTTTTCCTTTTGGTCGCTTTTTTGTGTCTTTTTTTTTCCGAATTTTTTTTTAATTAGTTTTCTAGCATTTTTTCGTTGTCTTTTTCTCGTTGCCCTTTTTTTTTCGCTCTTTATGTCGCATTTTTTGTCGAAATTTTTATTGATCTCGTCTCTGTCGCTTTTTTGTTGTTTTTTTTTTCGCTTTGTGCTTTTGTTTTGTTGTACTTTTTTGTTGTATTTTTTTATTGTCCATTTTCACCGGTTTTTTTTTGTTTTTTGAGTCCTTTTATCGCGTTGTTTTTCACATTTTCTTATCCCTTTTTTGCTTTTTTTTTTCGTCTTTCTCGTGTTTTTTTTTTCGCATTTTTATTGCTGCCTTTTTTGTCACTTTTTTGTTTCGGTTTTAAATGGTTTTTATTTGTTGCTTTTTATGTCACTTTAATGATGCATTTTTTTCGTCTTTTTTGTCCCGTTTATTCGGCCTGGTTTTTTTTGTGTTTCATCGCAGTTTTTGCCTGTTGTTTATTTTTATAATAATATTCACATTTTCTTCCTTTTTTTTTTGTTTTTTAATCGCTTTTTTTCCTCCTTTTATGTCATCTTTTTTTCGCCCTTCTTTGCCGCCTTGTTTTCGCGTTTTAATCGTTGTCTTTTTTTGGTATTTTTTTTTGTAGCTTTTTCTTTTGCTTCGTTGTCCTTTTTTGTTGATTTTTTATTGCCCATTTTCACTTTTTTTGTAGTTTTTGTCTTTTTGACTTTTTCTTGTGTTTTTTGACCTTACTGTACTTTTCCTGCCCCTTATTGTTTCTTATCACTTTTTTACCAACTTTGTTGTTTTTTCGCACTTTTTTTTCCTGTTTTTCATCTTTGTTGTCGTTTTTTTTCTCTATTTTATTGTCGCTTTTTTTTGTAATTTTTTTTTTTGTTTCGGTTTTATATATTTTTTTATTTGTTGCCTTTTTTGTGTCACTTTCATAATGCGTTTTTTCGTCTAGTTTTTTTGTCGCCTTGATTTATCGTATTTTTTGCCTGTTTATTCACATTTTCTTCATTTTTTTTTATCGCCATTTTTCTTGTTTTTTTTTTTTCGCCTTTCTTTGCCGTTTTGTTTTCGCGTTTTATTAGTTTTTATTTGTTACCTTTCCTTTTGGTAGCTTTTGTGCCGTTTTTTCTTTTTTTTTTGGACTTTTAGTACCATTTGGTGAGCTGTTTTTTTTTATTGAATTTCACGTTATTTTAATGACCATTTTTTTCCACGTTTTTTTGGCGCTTTTGTTAGTCACCTTTATTTGCAGTTTTTTTTTTTATATATTTTGGGGCTTTTCTATAATTTCTTTTGTCCTCTTTTGTATAACCTTTTTTGTCCTCTTTTTTAATGACATTTTTTGTCATTCGTATTTTTTGTCGCACTGTTGTTACTTTTCTTCCGGTTTTCTTCTTGTCTTTTTTTTTTGTTATTATTCTGCTTTTTAATCACCCCATTTTGTGTTTTTTTTTCTGTTTGTATTTTCATCACTTTTTTTGTCATATTTTTGAGTTCTTTTTTGTCGCCCTTTTCTTACCGTTTTTTTGACTCTCTTTTTGTTCCCTTTTTGTCGTTTTATCCTTCCTGGTTTTTTTTCGTTGTTTTTTCCTTTTTTTGAGTTTTTGTCGTGTTTTTTTCGTGGGCTTGTTCGCGTTTTTTTTTTGTTTTTTATTTACATTTTCTTCATTTTTAATCGCCCTTTGTCCCTCTTTTTTTGTTTTTTTTTTTTTAATTTGCGGTCTTGTTTTCGCGTTTTATCTGTTGTCTTTTTTTGGTTGCGTTTTTTTGTAGCCTTTTATTTGCTTTTTGGTTGCGTTTTTTCTTTCGTCTTTCTTTATAGTTGTTTTTTCGGATTCTTTGTCGCTTTTCTTTATTTTGGTTTTTTATCTTTTTGGTCGCTTTTTTGTGTAGGTGTTTTAGCGCATTTTAAATTTTTGTCGCATTCTATTGACTTTTTTTATGGAATTACACTTTTTTTTAATGACTCCTTTTCCATCATTTTTGTCATCTTTTTTTACGTTTCTTTGTTGCATTTCTCGTCGGCCTTTTTCATCGCTTCTTTTTTGTCGCATTTTTTTTATAAATCTTTTTTGGTATTATTTTCTTGATAGGTTTTTTCGTCTCTTTTTCGTGTTTTTTGGATTTTTGTCTTGTCTTTTTTTGTCGGTTTTCTTTGTTTCTTTTTTTTATCTTGTTTTTATTTGTTACCTCTCCTTTTGGTAGCTTTTGTCCCGTTTTCTCTTTTTTTTGAGACTTTTTATACCATTTTGTGTGCTGTTTTTTTTATTGAATTCCACGTTTTTTTAATGAACATTTTTTTCCATCTTTTTCTTTGTCGTCTTTTTTCGCAATTATTTGCTGTCTTTTTTCGTCGTCTTTTTCCTGTCGCCCTTTTTTTGTCACGTTTTTTCGGTGCCTACCCTTTTTTACGCTTTCCTTTGTCACATTTTTCTCATTGCCTTTTTTTTGCCACGTTCTTTTGGCGCTTTTGTTAGTCACCTTTTTTGCATTTTTTTTTTGTTTCAATGTTTTGATCCTTTTTAATAACTTTTTTTGTCCTTTTTTGTATTACCTTTTTTGTCCTCTTTTTTAATGACATTTTTTGTCATTCGTATTTTTTGTCGCACTGTTTTTTTGCTTTTCTTCCCGTTTTCTTCTTGTATTTTTTTTTTGTAATTATTCTTACTTTATTATTGTTTTTTAATCACCCCATTTTTTGTTTTTTTTTTCTGTTTGGTTTTTAACCGCACTTTTCCTATCACCTTTTTTTTTGGTCATATTTTTGAGTTCTTTTTTGTCAGCCTTTTCTTACCGCTTTTTTGACTCTTTTTGTTCCTTTTTTGTCGTTTTATCCCTCCTTTTTTTTTCGTTGTTTTTTTCCTTTTTTTGAGTTTTTGCCGTCTTATTTTTGCGTTTTATCTGTTGTCTTTTTTTGGTTGCGGTTTTTTGTAGCCTTTTTTTCTTTTTTGTAGCCTTTTTTCTTTCGCCTTTCTTTATCGTTGTTTTTTCGGATTCTTTGTCGCTTTTCTTTATTTTGTTTTTTTTTTATCTTTTTTTTGTTTGTTGCCTTTTTTTTGGTCGCTTTTTTGTGTAGGTTTTTTAGCGCATTTTTAGTTTTTGTCCCGTTTTTTTCGATTTTTTTGGGACTTTTTGTCGCATTCTATTGACTGTTTTTTTTTTATGGAATTACACTTTTTTTTAATGACTCCTTTTCCATAATTTTTGTCATCTTTTTTTTGCGTTTCTTTGTTGATTTTTTCGTCGTCTTATTCTCGTCGGCCTTTTTCATCGCTTCTTTTTTGTTGCATTTTTTTTAATAAATCTCTTGGTATTATTTTCTTGATTGGTCTTTTCGTCTCTTTTTCGTCTTTTTTTTCGCTTTTCTTTGTCGCCTTTTGTCGTTTTTTTCTCATTGTCTTTTTTGGCGCTTTTGTTACTCACATTTTTTTGGTAATTTTTTAGCCGTTTTTTATAACTTCTTTGGCCTTTTTTATCGCTTTTTTATTCTTTTTTAATGTCTTTCTTTTTTTGTCGCATTGTTTTTTGCTTTTCTTCGCGTTTCCTGGTCTTTTTGCATTTTTCTTTTCATCTTTTTTGTTATATTTTTGAGTCCCTTTTTTATGGCCCTTTCTTGTCGCCTTTTGGACCTTCTTTTTGTTCCCCTTTTGTCGTTTTATCACATTTTTTGTCCTCCTTTTTTTTTGCTGTTTTTCCCCTTTTTTGCATTTTGTCGTGTTCTTTTGGCTTGTTTTGCAGCGATTTTTTTATAATTTTTTCCCCTAGCATTTTTTCTCATTTTATCGACTATTTTTGTCATCTTTTCTGGCGCTTTTTTGCGCCTTTTTTCGACGTATTTTTTTGTCGCATTTTTTAATGGGTGTTTTGCCTTTTTGGATTGCCCAGTGTTTTTTGGTCACTTTTCGTAGACCCTTTTTTAGCTTCTTTTATCGGTTTTGTCACTTTTCTCACATTTTTGCGACTTTTTAGCCTGTTATTATCGCTTTTATTATCTCTTTTTTATTACTATTTTTGTATTCTTTTTGTCGCGTTCTGTCACTTTTTTAATTGGAAAAAGTTGATGACGTGATCACAAAATTTTATGATAAAAATAAATCTCACTTGGAACATACGCATCGCATGCTCTTTAACCAGTAGTTTAACAATCCATACCTGTCTTGATTTTAACGTCTAGGGATTCACAAAATCAAAACTTATAATTCAGGATTTGTCTTTGATAGAAGTTTTGTCTTTTCAGAGTACCGTCAATTTTAAAGTTTGGGTTGAACACGTAACGATCAAAGACAAACTTTCACAAATTCGTATCTATCTTTGATCGTGTTTTTGATTGCTCTCTCGGTAAGTATACAACGTTTCACTGCAGAACTGATGATGTATAAAAACGAATTTTAAAAATTCTGGTATTGGACTTTTTGTCCCATGTCATAAAGGGTGGTAAAGTATTAAATTCAGCGTTAGATTGGCACAATGAATTTACGATATTATTAGAAACAAATCCAAGTGGGCAAAAAAGCTCTTGTCATGCCATGCACGCTATTTAGGCAACCAGTAATACTGATTTTGATGGCCCTATATTACGGCCTTTAAATGCAGATGAAATAAATAAATTATAAATTTCATAAAATTGTAAAATTAAACAGATAAATCGTGTTTTTTTTAAATCAATGATTTTTGGTATAAAATCACTATTTTAACCATATTCAAGTTTTTTGAAATATATAATAAAATAACATTTCCATATTTTCCGTTTCTTAGGCAAACACAAATGATCCTGGCCCAATGCCTCTGCCAAAGCTCCCGAGACGAAAAAACCATTGTCTTAGAAATGTCAGCCCTCTCCTCCTTCCCCCACAAAGCCGTCGCCGAAATCATGACCTCCCTCCAAGTGACCACCCTCCCCGACCTCAAACGCACCTCCTCCTCCAGCGTACACACCCAAGACCTCAACTTCCCCGTCCTCTCCGTCACCCAAATCAACAAAATCGACACCCTCCTGACGAAACTCCGCGAAGTCTTCGCCCAGAAGCAGTTCAGCTCGGTCCTAACCTCCGACGTCATAGAATTATACGAGTACAAACTAGCGTCCATGGGTAACGCAGAGCGCGCGGCGATGGCCAGCGTGGAAGCGGCTTCAGAGAGGTGCACCCACCTCCAGCACAGAAACGCGCAGTTGTCGGCGGAGTTGAACAGGTCGCACCAACTGCTGTATCACGTCCAGCAGTGCCACGAGCAGGTCTCGAAGTTGAAGGAGTCGCTGGAGGAGAAGGTGCACACGTTCAAAACGCAGATTGACGTTGATAAGGGGAAGATGAAGGCGTGTAAGGGGCAGTTGGAGCTGAGGAATGAGGAGTTGAACGAGTGCAGGGGCGAGTTGGAGGTTTTGAAGAAGAAGTACGAGAAGAGTGTGGAAGGGAGGAGGGAGATGGATGAGCAGAATGCGCATTTGAAGCAGCTGATTGGTAGGTTGGAGGAGAGTTCGACGAAGCTGGAGAAGGTGGTGCAGAAGAAGGATGAAGTGTTGAAGAAGACGAATTATACGGTGAACAGCTTGAATTCGGTGAGTAAAATTTTTGGCGAAAGTACAAACTTTAATTGGTTGATTTCATTTCTTCTTATTTTTTTCGCCAGAGGATTTTTGTGTACACTTTTGCGGTTTTTGGTAGCTCAGCAAACGAAAATAAGCTCTAGAATCATGGATTTAAGATAGTTACACAAAATAATGTACTACCTTGAATATGAAAAACTAAATTTTGCGTTTCTGTCTGTCTGTTGTCTGTTGTTCGTTGGCAATCTTATTCAGACAGATAATCTCCAAACACTATAATGAACTGATTCTATTGTTATCAAATATTAAGTATATTTTAGGAATACCGCGTTGATGGTAAAACGTTAACCAAAATTTAAGGTTTATCAGTGTATTCATATTTTTGTCGCCCTCTTACGCCCTTTTCTTTTTTTGTTACTTTTTATTCGCTTTCCTGTCTCCTGTTTTTTTTTTGTCTTTCTTTGTCGCTTTTTTCTCGCTTATTATTCACCTGTCTTTTTCACCTTTTTTCAAGCCCTTTTTTAATAAACCTTTTTTTTTGTTTTTGTTCGGTTTTTATCAGTTATTTAAGTCATTTTTAATCACCTCCTTTCGGCCTTCTTTGCCATGTTTTTTTTGTTTTTTGTGTTTTGTATCGTCATTTTTTAATCGCTTTTTTCGCATTTCTTACTCGTCTTTTTTTTTGGGCGGATTTTTTTCTCCTCGATTTTTATTAACTTGATTCTTTTTTTCCGAATTTGTCGCGTTTTTTGTTACTTTTTCCGCCCCCTTTTTTTAATGATCTTTTTCGCGCCTTTTTCTGTCGCCTCTTTCTTGATTTTTTTGTTGCCTCTTTTTTGTGGTTTTAGCTATCGCATATTTTTTGTCTTTTGTGTTTTTTGGTCACTTTTTTGCCGTTTTTTTTTGACCGTATATTTGGCCGTCTATTTTTTTTGTTACATTTTCTCATTTTTTTTGTCTTTTTTATAGTCTTTTTCACTTTTCTTCTCGTTTTTCTACTCACGTTTTCTTGTCGTCTTTTTGTTTTTTTATCACTTTTCGAAATCTTTTTTGTCTCCTTTTTTGTTAGCGTTTTGACCTTTTTTTTTGTCATTTTATCACCGTTATCATTTTTCTGTCGCTTTTTTCCACGCATGTTTCTTCGCCTTTCTTGATCACGACTTTTTTTTGTCTTTTTTTTGGGTCGCTTTGCACCTTTTTTACTTTATGCGTTGTTATTTTTCATCACATTTTTTGTTGGTTTTCTGTCACTTTTTCAAGTCCCAATTTATCACCTTCTTATCGTGTTTTTTTTTTCGCATTTTTCTCGCTTTTTTTTAATCGTCATTTTTTTGTCGCTTTTTTTGCCTTTCTTAGTCGACTCTTTTTGTTTTGAGCGAATTTTTTTCTCCCCAATTTTGATTATCTAGATTATCTTGTTTTTCCGCATTTGCCGCGTTTTTTGTTACGGTTTTTGCTATTTCTTTTTTATGACCATTTTCGCGCCCTTTTGTGTTATGTTTTTGTCGTCTCTTTTGTGGTTTTTTGTCGTCTCTTTTTTGTTTTTTTTTTTTTGCTGTCTCTCTTATTCCGTTCTTTTAATCCTCTTTATTTGTCGGTTTGTCCGCCTTTTCTTGTCTTGGTTATTTTGGTCTCTTTTTTGTCGTCCGTTTCTTTAATCTTTAATATTTTGCTCACATTTTTTCAATTTTTTTGTCCCCTTTTTATAGTCTTTTTCACCATTTTTTTGTCGAGTATATTTTTTGACCTGACCTGACCGTTTCTTCGTCGCATTTTTGTTCTCCTCAATTTTAATTATCTTTTTTCTATTGACTTTTTTTGCCTTTTGTTTCATCACGTTTCTTCTTGGTCTTTATTTTAGGTTTTTTTGGGGACTCTTTTTCATCTTTGTTTGTCATTGTTTTTTCGCTTTTCTGTCGCTTTTCTTTGTTTCGGTTTTTAGTCTTTCTTTTATTTAACGCCTTTGCTTTTGGTCGCTTTTTATGTCATTTTTGACGCTTTTTTTTACCTTTTTTTTGTCCCGTTTTTTTTAATGCTTTTTTTGTCGTATTTTGTTACTGTTTTTTATCGAATTGCACTTTTTGTTTTTATTTTTTAATGACCCTTTTTCCATTTTTTTATCGTATTTGTTTGCCTTCTTCGCCCTATTTTTCTCGTCCCCCTTTCTTTTCACTTTTTTTATCTCGTTGTTTATCGATATTTTTATTAATCCTTTTTTTTTTTGTTCCATTTTTGTTGCTCTTCTTTTTTGCAACTTTTTTCTTTTGGCCATTTTCATCGCTTTTTTATTGCCCATTTTCATCTTTTTCTTCAAGTTTCTATATATTTTTTTGTGCCCCTTTATTACGTTGCTTGTCCCATTTTTATACCTTTTTTTTGCCTTTTTTTGACCTTCTTTGACATCTCTTCAATTTTAATGATATTTTTCGCGGTTGGTGCGTTTTTTGGTTACATTTTAATGCCTTTTTTATCACGTTTTTCCCACATTTTTTATTTTTTTGTTGCCTTTTGTTACGTTTTGTTTTTTTTTTTTCGGCACTTTTCATCACCTTTTTGGCGTTTTGCATTCACAGGTTTTTTGATTTTTTTTTGTTCTTTTTTACCTTTTTTTTGGCCTTCGTCGTCTTTTTTTCTCCTTTGTCGCCTCTATTTTTGCTCACGTTTTTCCTCTTTTTTTCCCCGTTTTTTATTCTTTGATTTTTTCGTTGTAATTTTTTTGAAGCTTCGTTTTGATTACATTTTTGTCACGTTTTTTGCTACCTTTTTGAATCCTTCTTCCACCGTTTTTGTTTGTTGCCTCTTTTTCGCCACATTTTTGGGTGTCTGTATTGTCTTTTTTTCGTCTTTTCTTGTCGCTTTTTTTGTTGTTTTTTGAGTTTATTAGGGTCTTTTTGTCGCGTTTTTTCTTTCTATTTTATTGTTTCTCTTTTATGCTTTTTTTTTCGTTGCCATTTATTGTTGGGTCCATTTTTTTCATTGTGCCCCCTTTGTATAATTTAATTTTTTCTCCCCAATTTTTGTTGCTTTTTTTGGGTACTTTTTGTCGTCCCTCTTTTTTTCACATTTTGTCAATTTTTGAATTCTTTTTTTGTAGTGTTTTCTATTACCTTTTCGTCTTTCTTTTTTTCGTTTTGTGTCGTCAATTGTCTGTCGCTTCTTTTTTGTATTGCTCTTTATTTTTTTTGGAACTCTCTTCTTTTTAATCGCCAATTTTTTGTCCCCTTTCTTTTGCTGTTTTCATTCACGTTTTTTGTTTGTCTTTTTTTTTGCTTTTTTTGTGTCACTTAAGTTTTTTTATCACTTTTTTCCCGCCTTTTGCCGGTTTTTTTTTCGCCTTTTTTCATTTTTTTAGCTCTTCTAGAAAACGTCACCATTTTTTTGTTACTTTTTTCCATTTGTTGGTCGTTTTTTTGTCTCGTTTTTGCTCAGTTTTTTATCGTCTTTAATTTTTTCTCATTGGCATTTTTTTGGTGTCATTTTTTCTCCCCAGTTTTGACAGTTTTTTTTACGCGTTTTTGTCTCCTTTTTTACCTTTTTTCATCCTTCTTCGTCGTCTTTTTTTTTTTCTTTCTTTTTATCTTTTTTTTTTCTATTTTATTGTTTCTTTTTTATGTTTTTTTTTCGTTGCCGTTTATTGTTGCGTCCATTTTTTTCGTTGGGCCCCATTTGTATAATTTTTTTCCCCAATTTTTGTTGCTTTTTTTGGGCACTTTTTGTCGTCCCTCTTTTGTTCACATTTTGTCACTTTTTGAATTCTTTTCTCTAGTGTTTTCTATTTTCGTCTTTCTTTCTTGGCCGTTTTTTTCGCTTTTGTGTCCCTTTTTTATCTTTTTTCCTTTTTGTGTCGTCAATTTTCTGTCGCCTCTCTTTTGTTGTTTTTCATTCACGTTTTTTGTCATCTTTTTTTGTCACTTACGTTTTTTTTCACTTTTTTCTCGCCCTTTGCCGTTTTTTTTTTCACTTTTTTTTCATTTTTTTAGCTCTTTTCCAGAATACATGTCACCATTTTTTGTTACTTTTTTCCATTTGTTGGTCTTTTTTTTGTCTCGTTTTTGCTCAGTTTTTTATCGTCTTTAATTTTTTCCCATTGGCATTTTTTTGGTCTCATTTTTTTCTCTCCAGGTCTGACAATCTTTTTTTTTAAGCATTTTTTGTCTCCTTTTTTACCTTTTTTCGTCCTTCTTCGTCGCCTTTTTTTTGTCTCTTTTATCGCCTTTTTTTTTGTCGCTTCTACTTTTTCTCTTCGTCTTTATTTTTGTATTTTTTGTCTTGTTTATGCTTTTTTTTCCCTTGCCATTTATTTTTGCGTCCATTTTTCATTGTGTCCCCTTTGTTGTATTTTTTCTCCCCAAATTTTTGTTTGCAATTCTCGTCTTCATCCCATTTTTTTGTTAACTTTTTGGCCCCTTCTTTATTACCGTTTATTTTTTGTTGCTTTTTTTTTGAGCACTTTTTGTCGTCCTTTTTTTGTTCACATTTTGTCACTTTTTGAATCCTTTTTGCCGTGTTTTCTATTACCTATTTCGCCTTTCTTTCTTGCCCTTTTTTTTGCTTCCTTTTTTGTCCCCCTTTTTTTGTTTATTTTTTCCCTTTTGTGTCGTTAATTTTCTGTCATCTTTTTTTGTTGCTTTTTTTGTTACTTGAGTTTTTTTTTTTACTTTTTTTTCTGTTCCTTTGCCTTTTTTTTTTTTTTCATTTTTTAAGCTCTTTTCCAGAAAACATGTCACCATTTTTTTGTTACTTTTTTCTATCTGTTGGTTGTTTCTTTTTTTGTCTCGTTTTTTGTCCTTTTTATCGTCTTTAATTTTTCCCCACTGGCATTTTTTTGGTCGCATTTTTCTCCCCAGTTTTGACAGTCTTTTTTTACGCCTTTATTCACCTTTGTCGTGTTTTTTTGCTGTTTTTGACCCGTTTTTGTCACTTTTTAGCCCGCTTCGTTTTTTTTTGCCGTTTTTTGTCCCCATTTTGTTTTGGCCTTTTTTCGGTAGGTGTTTTTACCTTTTTTTTAAGCGTTTTTTGTCCTATTTCTGGTTGCCTTGTTTGTTGTTTTTCTTGTTCTTACGAAGGTTAAAATTTTGATACGAAAATCTCCCTTGAATAAGCACAACATGCTTACAAAAAAAAAAAAATCGCAAAATCAGATTTTAAATTACTAAAATTTGTTTTAATACCTCTAGGCTATTTTTTTCTGAATATTTCGACTTCGTTAAGCGCTTTACCCAAAAAATATATAGCTTTATGAACGCATTCCAGATGGTTGTGTAAGCGCGCCTTAACGAAAAATCCACCTTACTACTATTTTTCTAATCCATTGATCCTTCCATTGCAGAAAGTCGCCGAATTGGAACAGAATCTCACGCAAAAGCAAACCGAATTGCAGCAGACGATGGTGGAACTCAAAGACGTCACCAAAGAGCTCAACACCAGGAAGCAAATCTTAGAAACGATAACGAAATTCGCCCTAAATTCACAGATTACCGAGCAATAATTTAAGTTTTAAGATTTTACAAAATAATTTAACTTTTTATAATAAAAGAAATTTATGATGAAACAACTAGTTTCCTTAACACTGACATCTGATGTAATGCTGCAAGTAATTGAGTAACACGTGCTCCACCCATTCATGCACTTTTACAGTTATGCAACTAATTTAAGAATTATTTCCTATTATAAAAATTTCGGATGTCTACCTTGAAGTGACCCCCATTGCGGCGTTGCCACGTCGCCACCACAACGCAGCAAAAATCCACACAAAAAAAATAAATTTACAAAGAATTGTACAAAATCGTCGTCATTTCATTCTATCATTCACTAACTCAGTACGTAATAGGCAAAAAGGCGTTAATTTTGTCGTTTGAAAACCTCATTCCCGGTGCTACGCGTCGTCGTTGGCAACACTGCCGCAGGTAACCACGTGGAGTGACAAGTGGCGCCCTCTCAAAAGTGCCAGCGAGCTGTCATTTACGAAATTAGGTTGTGTTTTTCTTATCTTGACAAATTCTTTTGATTTAAAATCGCCGAAATGTCGAATTCTAAAGAAAGTGTCGCCGCCCCCGACTCGGAAAATCTGTGCGTGGTCTGCTGCAAGAACGTGGAAATCTACTCCGTGGGCATCTGCGACCACCCCGTCTGCTTCGAGTGTTCCACCAGAATGCGGGTGCTGTGCAGCCAGAACGAGTGCCCCATCTGCCGGGGGCAGATGCCCAAAGTAAGTCAAAACCTCATCGCCGCCCAACTTCGCCCCCTCAAACGCTGCTATTTTTAGAATTTTTTATGGCAGCGCAATTATGCAATATAACGTAGCCCCCTTGGAATGACAGCGGAGACGGTGGGGACAGTGTCAGAAGGGGGCAATGTTGGTATTGGCATGATTCAGAGGTGTGTGAGCTTTAGGTTACATGTGGAATGTTTGGTAGTCGATAGTGGTATCATGTTGATAAATAAGTCAAAGTTTTTGAATTGTAGTTGCGTTTGTAAGACGTAAACATGGAAATTTGGTGGTTATTTTGTGGAATAGGGGTTAAAAGGGACAGTTTGAGAAAAACTGACCGTTGGTTAGTAATTTCAAACAACCACATGGTGACAATGAGACAACGTTCATCCTTAACCTTGGCAAATTTGACACTGTCAGTGCTATAAATTTAACCCCAATTGTCGACAGAGATATTTGTATTTTCAATGTCAGTCCTTACGTGCATTATTAAAAGTATTTTCCACTGATCAAAGATAATGAAAGTTATTCTTGCTACAAAAAAAATGGTGATAGTAGTGAACTAATCAGTTTTAGATCAGTTTCAATATTTTGTGCGATAAAATCGTTAAGGTTTTGTTGAAAATTGGCTAAACCAACTTCAGTAAAAATGAACAAATTTAATATATCGCTTGTAACAACCTCTTAGTTTGTGTTTAAAAAAAAAAATGAAATGCAGATTTCCCCTCTCGCTCAGTGAGAAATATTTTAATAAATACATATACTGTGTAGAAACTATACTGACGAAATAAAAAATACTGAAGTTATTCAAATTTATTTTTTTAATAGGCAACCACTATTACTGTCACGTGTCTAGAAACGACATTGGAAGGATTACTGTTGGTGTTGAGCAGTCGTCACTTTCTCGTTATCTTTTCGTTTTGATTTACGTAGAACAAACGACATCATGTAAATTATTATATTCTTAATTTCTCAGTATTAAATTCGTACAAAAATTACTAAAATTATTTCAATAGAGTTAACCAAATCAGCGTCAAACTATTGATACATTTTTTTAAAGAATAGCCTAGTCATTGTTGGCGATTTTATGAGACAGATAAACTCTGAAACTCTTGATTTGAAACTTGAATGACCCTTAAAATTACCGTTTTAGATAGTGAAATGCTGGCCAAAATGTATCTACTCAATTTCTCTAAAAATTGGTGACGTCATCTCAGAGTTTTGTGGGGTAAATACCACATTGTTTGGTGTTTAACGTTATCAAAGTCGAATTTTAAAATTGTTCATTCGATATAATGAACAATGACATTTTAATAAAGCTCTGAAATCTTACAAACGTGTTAAGGTTATTGTAATCATCCGTTTATCCCCTTCCAAAGAATTGATGACGTCATCTCAAAATTGTGCCGAATAAATCCTCCCTGAAATATGCAAAACATAAAGTCACAATGTTGTACTTGTACTTGTGGTTTGTCAGTGTGTTCACAGTTTTTGGACTTACTTATACAGGGGTGTTCAAAAATAATTAATGAATGAGGCAGTTTATTGTATTGATTGAATCAAGAACGACTCAGCTCATTTTCTTAAAAATTTGGGAATACAATACTCTTATTATTTTTTAAATTTTGTATGACAGTTTTCCGTTTTTTCTTTTTCATTTTCTTAATCTTTTCAATTTTTCTTTCGATTTTCCAATTTTTAAATTTTTCAATTTTAAAAAAACGAAAAATTATGACACTGAAAAACGAGAGATTTGTCGCAGTTTTTTTTTGGACGTTTTTTTTTTTTGGCTTTTTATGTGGTCATTTTTCGGTCACCCTTTTTTATCTCTATTTTGTCGTGTCGCCGTTTTTATCCCCTTTTTTTCATTTTGCTTTTTTTGTCACGTTTATTTTGTTGATTTTTTTTTTGTCTATTTTCCCACCTTTTTTCACCTTTCTTGGTCGCGGTTTTTCTTGGGCTTTTTTGTGTCCTTGAACTTTTCACTTTTTTGGTCGCAGTTTTTTTGTGCCCGTTTTCGTCTTTCTTTATCGTTTTTTTCCGCCCTTTCGTGTCTTCATATTTCTGTCGATTTTTTTATTTTAACTTATAAGTGTTACCATAAAATAATAAAATTCCCAAAATCAAATTTTATATTTTTTGAAAAATCTCGATTTATTTGTTTTCGACCAATTTTTTGATATCACAATTTTTCGTTTTTCATTTTCTTTCATTTTTCAATATTTTAATTTGCATTTTGTAAATGTTATATCAGTTTTCCGTTTTTTCTTTTTCATTTCCTTAATCTTTTAAATGTTTCTTTCGATTTTCCAATTTTCAAATTTTTCAGTTTTGCTATTTTGGATTTGCAGTTATTCGATTTCTTTAATTTTCAATATTTCGATTTTACAATACATACTTCATTTTTTCGATTTTGAAGTTTCTCAATTTTTAATCTTTCAGTTTTTGAGGCTCTTGATTTCCATTTTTAGATTCTTCAGTGTTACAATTTTCATTTTTTTTTTATTCGAAAAGTTGAAAAATCGGAAAATTTAAAATGCAAAAAATTGAAAAACTGAAAAAACGAAAAATTGTAAATCGAAGAACTGCAGAAACGAAAAATTATAACACTGTAAAACGAGAGATTTTTCAGTTTTTTTTTTCGTTTTTGCTTTTTTTTGTCCCATTTATTTTGTTGATTTTTTTTGTCCATTTTCCCGCCTTTTTTCACCTTTCTTGGTCGGGGTTTTTCTTGGTCTTTTTTGTTTCTCTTATTGAACTTTTCACTTTTTTGGTCGCAATTTTTTTGTGCTCGTTTTCGTCTTTCTTTATCATCTTTTTTGTGCCCTTTCGTGTCTTCATATTTGTATCGATTTTTTATTTTAACTTGTAAGTGTTACCATAAAATAATAAAATTAGCAAAAACAAATTTTATATTTTTTTGAAAAATCTCGATTTATTTGCCTTCGACCAATTTTTTGATATCACAATTTTTCGTTTTTCATTTCCTTAATCTTTTCAATGTTTCTTTCGATTTTCCAATTTTTAAATTTTTCAATTTTGCTATTTTTGGATTTGCAGTTATCCGATTTCTTTAATTTTCAATATTTCGATTTTACAATACATACTAAATTTTTTCGATTTTGAAGTTTCTCAATTTTTAATCTTTCGATTTTTTAAGTTCCTGATTTCCATTTTTAGATTTTTCAAAGTGTTCATTTTAGGCTTTTTTTTTATTCGAAAAGTTGAAAAATCGAAAAATTAACGATCCAAAAATTGTAAATCGAAGAACTGAAGAAAAGAAAAATTATAACACCGAAAAACGAAAAATTTTCGAAGTTTTTTTGACATGTTTTTTTTTGCGTTTTGTGTGGTCATTTTTCTGTCACCGTTTTTTATGTCCATTTTGTCGTGTCGCCGTTTTTATCCCCTTTTTTTCATTTTTGCTTTTTTTGTCACGTTTATTTTGTTGATTTTTTTTGTCCATTTTCCCGCCTTTTTTCACCTTTCTTGGTCGCGGTTTTTCTTGGTCTTTTTTGTGTCTCTTATTGAATTTTTCACTTTTTTGGTAGCAATTTTTTTGTGCCCGTTTTCGTCTTTCTTTATCGTCTTTTTTCCGCCCTTTCGTGTCTTCATATTTGTATCGATTTTTTTATTTTTACTTATAAGTGTTACCATAAAATAATAAAATTCGTAAAATCAAATTTTACATATATTATTTTGAAAAATCTCGATTTATTTGCCTTCGTCCAATTTTTTGATATCACCATTTTTCGTTTTTTATTTCCTTAATATTTTCAATGTTTCTTTCGATATTCCAATTTTTAAATTTTTCAATTTTGCTATTTTTGGATTTGCAGTGATTCCGATTTCTTTACTTTTCAATATTTCGATTTTACAATACATACTAAATTTTTTCGATTTTGAAGTTTCTCAATTTTTAATCTTTAGATTTTTTAAGTTCCTGATTTCCATTTTTAGATTTTTCAAAGTGTTCATTTTAGGCTTTTTTTTTATTCGAAAAGTTGAAAAATCGAAAAATTAACAATCCAAAAATTGTAAATCGAAGAACTGAAGAAAAGAAAAATTATAACACTGAAAAACGAAAATCTTTCGCAGTTTTTTGACTTTTTTTTTGACGTTTTGTGTATTAATTTTTCTGTCACCCTTTTTTATCCCCATTTTGTCATGTCGCCGTTTTTGTCCCCTTTTTTTTCATTTTTGCTTTTTTTGTCACATTTATTTTGTTGATTTTTTTGTCCATTTTCTCGTCTTTTTTTCACCTTTCTTGATCGCGGTTTTTCTTAGTCTTTTTTGTGTCTCTTATTGAACTTTTCACTTTTTTGGTCGCAATTTTTTTGTGCCCGTTTTCGTCTTTCTTTATCATCTTTTTTCCGCCCTTTCGTGTCTTCATATTTCTATCGATTTTTTTATTTTAACTTGTAAGTGTTACCATAAAATAATAAAATTCGCAAAATCAAATTTTATATTTTTTTGAAAAATCTCGATTTATTTGCCTTCGACCAATTTTTTGATATCACAATTTTTCGTTTTTCATTTCCTTAATATTTTCAATATTTCTTTCGATTTTCCAATTTTTCAATTTTGCTATTTTTGGATTTGCAGTTATCCGATTTCTTTAATTTTCAATATTTCGATTTTACAATGCATACTAAATTTTTTCGATTTTGAAGTTTCTCAATTTTTAATCATTCGATTTTTTAAGTTCGTGATTTCCATTTTTAGATTTCTCAAAGTGTTCATTTTAGGCTTTTTTTTATTCGAAAAGTTGAAAAATCGAAAAATTAACAATCCAAAAATTGTAAATATCAAGAACTGGAGAAAAGGAAAATTATAACACTGAAAAACGAAAATTTTTTTGGTCGCAATTTTTTTGTGCCTGTTTTCGTCTTCCTTTATCATCTTTTTTCCACCCTTTCCTGTCTTCATATTTGTATCGATTTTTTTATTTTTACTTATAAGTATGTATTACCATAAAATAATAAAATTCGCAAAAT